TCACAACGCCAGCATGGTTCCCAGCCTCTCTCTAAAGTAATCACCATCGCCACCCTGGGCATCCCTGGCCTTGCTAGGAGTAAATGTGTGAATTGAAACTGGCTCAGGCTCGTCACTCTCTTTGAAATCGTGTAAGTTAATTATGTTTTTATAGTTTTTATTTTGGGCTGAGCCATCTATACACGTACTCCCCACTTGCCTGGCTAACTCAGGGAGACATTCACACTCTCAGTGAACTCAGGGACAAACACACCACCATCTGATTCTYTCAGCTGTTTGTAGTTGTTTATCTAAAGCAAAACCCATCCTCAGCTCCCCTTGCTGTTGAGATCAAGTCAGCTTTTTTGCAGCAGCTGTGATCAGTTCCAGCCCACATCCTTCCCTGTGTTTCATAGGCACAGCGCTTTGGCACACCTCTGATCCCTCCCCAGTGGTAGGGGCTTTACTGATCAACCACGGAACAAATACATTGATCTTTTAGTATTTGTCTGCTTTGTATTGGTATATAGTTTCGTATGATTTTATGGCTCCCTGGTTATATCAGAGAGTACCTTTCTGAGTTTGTATTCCCAAACTGGTGTGCAGCAGTACTGCAGCTGAGGAATACAAGAAACAAGAAGGATAAGATTAGTACTTCAATTTCACAGGGAATTATGTGCTTAGGTCCTTTTTGTGATTGCTCTGTTGAAAGTAGCAAACATATGCAGGGAGTACAACTGGTTTTAGCAATATGGTTTAATTAGTCTGGTTCCAGGCTAAGGGAATGAAAAATGTGGATTAGATTTAATGGTGAGGATCACATTTCACAAYGGCTGGGAAAAATGCTGAGTATGATAGTAATTTTACTGCTTTTCAGGGCTYTAACCTTAACTTAGCATTTTCTTTCAGCGCCCTCCTTTATTTTCCATTGTGTCTTTCTCTTGGTTGGCTTTTGGCCTCAGAATGGTTCCAGAAGTGTGTACAACAATACAGTAGTCACCTGCGTCCTTGGCATTCAGTTCATCTCACAATCTCATCCACTTTAGTATTTGTTTCCCACAAAATTCTTCAGGAACCTGGCTGCCTACAAATGTTGTTCTTAATTGTACCTGCATAGAATACTTCACAGCACCAAAAGCAATCTTCAAAGCATGATGCAAAATATGCATTACAAATCACATTTGTGGTATTGTATTAAATGTTTGTAGAAGCAGGTGGATAATGAGGAAGAAACTGCACTCATAGAGGAGGTTGGAAGAGAGGTCAGGAACTTGCTTGTTCTTATGTTTTTATAATTATAGTATCTTTCAACTTAGCTGTGTGTTGCTTGCATTTTAACAACACCTTACTAAGCACAGTTTATTATTTTATATAATAATCACTTATAATAATAAAATTTTTTTTCTGTATATTTAATATATGAAACCCTGACAGGATAGTATTTGGTATAACATGCGGTATGTATATGTGTCAGTAAACAACCCCATGTTGTTACTGCAAAAAAAATTCATGGGAATTGYAGCTTTTGAGTTAAGATAGATAATTGATTTTTTATTTATACTATGCATGTAATTTATTTTCTTCTTTTCTTGGATGATGGTAGAGAAGCAAATTGATTGGCTTGTCTGATCATTATTTTCTTTGTTCTCACATGTTGACTGTGCCTGTCCTGTTGGGCAGTTTGTGTGCATCAGCATCACACTAGTGGTTTCTTTCTTGATGAAATTAGAGTAGCTCTATTAGATCAGTATAAAATTTATGAAACAACACAGGCTTTATCATTGGGCTGTTTTCTCTGTATGAGATAGGTCTTTATGAAATCTGTTGCTGAAAGGTTCAGACCAATGTCTTGTACAAGCAGAAATCTTTGTGCTGTTTTAATTTTGCGCACTACTGAGTTTTTGATCTGTTTCATAATCTTTTGTCATTAAGAGGCAGCCCACCTTGAACTATAAATGGCTCGTATGAATTTTAGCCATCTCCCTTATCTGTTACTGTTKGCTGAGTAGAGAAAAAAAACAGTATGCCATGTGGCTAGGACCATTCTCTTTCTTTCTTTCTCACTTGTCGCATTCTCTAGYGATGCATTGCTGCAGAGTTACAATTGCAGTTGACTTACTGGTTGAGATTTTTAAATGGAGCCTTTCCCACTTTAACAGTTTGGATTATTAAACTTGACTTCTGAAACTGAACTTTCCCTCCACCCCCCTCCAAATGACTTTCGCATGGTCTGTAGCTCTCACGTTACCTTTCTTTGAGTTTCTGCAACATCCGAAGATCCACTTTGCAGTTCCCACCTGCCTGGTGATAAACAAGCACTCTGGAAAGCGTGGCCTGTGGGAACACTCACACCTTAAAGGGAAAGTGCAGCAATAGTTTGTAACACCTTTTTATTGAGTGGGGAGAGCTTGACTCTGCCAAGAATACGCAGCTACATTGTCTGTGTTAACCTTGTGTTTTGCAAAGGAGCTGGAGGCACAAGTGCATGTCAATCCAGAATATCCCAAGGAACCCTTCTCTGTTATGATGGCTTCCTTTCGTCTAGTCTGCCCTTTCTGTAGCTTTCTTTTTTTTTTTAATTTATTCTTTTATTAGCACTTGGAAACTAAAACGATCCAATTAATGAAAAGATAATTTTGCATAGTAAAAGATGCATCAAACTCTCCTTGTTGTGATAAAGCCATCATTTGGTTGCTTGGAGAAGAGAGACCCTATATTGAAGCCAGGGGTGGATGTAACTCACATATTGGATACCCGTGTTTGGCAGGGGGTGCCAGGCCTGGCAGCAGGGTGGCTGTGAAAYCAGGCACAATTCATCTTGTTTCTTACCCAGCTTGCAGTGTGCTAGGGAACGTGAAGAACAGTTGAGCTGACTGTASAGGGTGAAGAGGACAAAGACTGAGTAGAGGGTGAAAAGGACAAAGATAAATCCATTGGAAATCTGCCTTTTTAGTTCCACTGTTYAGAGAACAAGTTGTTTTTCATTGAGATTTTCAAATTAATGGTGTCCTTTTTTATTATGAGGCCATATGTATGGGCATTTTCTGGTCTTGTATTTAATTAAAACCGCAGCTGGTGATCATTTAATTACAGTGTATGAAAGGGAATGATAATTGACTATATAGCACTGTTTTATTCAGTGTGGAGAATTGTAGCTATTTTTCATGTATTATTTGCAACTGTGTTGAAGGATGCATGTTCTGATGAGCAAACTTGCAAGCTTGATTGCAACACATAACAAAACTTTGTTATGGAAATTAGGTGAAACAGTTGTTTAGAAATTCACCAGCTTTCCTGAAAATTTGGAGCAAATTATCAACAGATTGGTACAATTGGTCTGGTTCTTTTTTCTCCATACTGTACAATCAGTGCATAGTTTCCTGTGGTAGGGAAGAAGGCCTTCTGCTGAAGGCCAAAAATACKTGAAGGTATTCAGGATGTTCCTGGGTTTATTAAGAGGTTTCAGTGTACATGTTCGGTAGAAGCTGTGTAGCATGTGCCCTTAGCAAGCGTGAGTTACTGGSTTTTACTTGAAGGATGAGGCTTCCTTGAGACTCTTAAATGTTCTGCAGCTTATAATTGTGCATGTGTATATTTGTACTGAAACAAATACCTGCATGTATGTAAGATATTTTTGTAGCTGATGTAATAAAAATGCTGTTGACTGAACTCATAAATGAGGATGCCCCGGAAATAAGTAGTTACACATCCATTTTAAAAAGGTAGAATTCACATCCAGATATCATTTTAAAATTATCTTTTCTGTCTTGAAGGCAGAGGTTTTTTCATTAACAATGGGAGTACTGTATGTGAAGAACCTGTTGCCAAATGATTGYTCTCTGCTGTCAGGCAGCTGCTTTCACACACTAGTATGGGAAAACAGCTATGGTTTTGCGGCTTCCAGTACTGTAAAAGCAAAATTTGTATCAAAATAGGACTCATTAGCTGATTCATTGTAAATGAAACAAGGAAAATAATTTTTAGTTGACCCACCCAATAGATTATGGGAATGAGGGACTGAAAGTGGGTGGAGAATTAGAAGCAGGGTTTGTGTTTCAGCCCGAATCTTGGCAGCAGAGCAGTGTGTGCCGTATTGCATGGTCTGGTGTGAAAGGTCACTTCTGTTTTCACACCCAGTATAAATTGAAGCTGCTTCTTTACTACGAAGAAAGACTTCAGTACTAATGGCTACTTTTCCCCCTGGGCTTTCCAGTTGCAGTTGTCAGTACTTAGTGTTGCATTCTTGCTGCTGCCTTCAGTGAAATGATGAATGGGATGTTTAAGAACAAGAAGAGAGAGTGAATAATTAAAATTCTTTTAAGAACTGTTCTTGATTTCTAAATTGAGTGGCTAACCTAATTTCAATGCTGTGAGTTGTCCTAGCCTGGTATGTATTTCCACATGCTATCAGTTAAATGTGGAAAATATCTTTCATCAAAAGGATCTACTGCAGAAAGAAAAACAGTTCTGGTTCTTCATGTGTGGGTTAGTAGATAAGCATCACTGAAACTCACTGGCGTGGGACTGAGGAGAACAACAACTGTGGAAGAGTAGCTTGCAGTGGTGTAAACTTCAGTTGCACAATAAAACCAAATCTTCTTCATAGTGTTACCCACTTTCACCAAACTGATAATCTTTATGTGTCTAAAGGCATCAAAATGTGGTGCACCTCATTCTRTAATGCAAATATTAGTCAGCATGTTTTTTAATGTTTTATAGCACATTATAAGACTCAGGCACCCTCTTAATAAACTAGAACTAATTTATGCATTTCTAGCTGAATTATTCCTCATTGTGTTAATCTTTATAAAGGATATGGTGAACGAATGTGTGTGCCGCTTGGAGAGAAAAATACCACGTTAGTTGTATGTGTATTTCTTTTAGACCTTGTTCTACTGAGGTTGCTGTTAACTACTGCAGAAATCCAGCATTACTGTAGCTGCTATATAATACTGTCTCTTGTGAAACGCTATTGCTATATGGTTTGTGAATTGGTTGATTTCTTTCTTTTTGTCTTCCAGCTTCATTTAGCAGCCCTGGCTTCATTAAAGGGGGACATTGTGGAGCTTAATAAACGTCTACAACAAACAGAAAAGGAGCGTGACCTGCTAGAAAAAAAATTGGCAAAAGCACAGGTGAGCAATAAAAATTCAAGTTTCTGAAGATGGTTGCTGGTTTTGTGCAGTTCACGTTTGTCAGAGGATAAAATACTCAAGAATTCAAACGTCAGGTCACAAGTCACAAGAATTTTAAGACTGCAAGACATATAGTTGCCACGGGTTATAACTTTTTTGTGTTGAAGACATTCTTCTAAAAGAAACCCTAAAAATTATTTTGGTTAATTTTGTTTTGAAGTCAATATGAGCAACGAGTGCTTTGAAGTATTTTAGGATATAAGAATTACAACATGCTTAGGATTAGGTAACTGGTTGCAGAGCCTTGCACTCCTGGATCACATTTCAACACAGGACAAATTTACACTGATCAAAAGCTATTGCAAATTTTCAGTGCTTTGATGTTGTGAGAGAAATTATTTGTGATCTCAGACTAGCTTCCAATAAGCCAGTTGGAATTGTGGAATTGTGGAAAACATGGCCAGTGGAAAGCCAAGGGGTTAAATTGAAGTAAGGTCTGAACTCTGATGCTTCCACAGTTCTTACAGGGAGCAAAATGCAAACAAGGTAAATTGAGCTATTCTTAATATTTCTCTCTTCTATAAACAAAATCTTTGATTTCAGATACTGTTATTGTATCAAATACCTTTTATAAGTAGTTAACATTTCAAAACTAATTCAAAGTACATGGATAGAGACAATGAAAGCATTATGTCCTGTAAGGTATGGCACCTTATTTGTTGCCCAGAGAAGTCATAGAATGTCCAGCCTTGGAGATTACTCAAGGCACCTGGATGTGGTGTTGGCTTGGGTAAGGGTCTGAATGAATAACTTCCAGTGGTCCTTGCCAGCTTTAGCCATTCTGTGATTTTGCAGATTTAGAGTTTTCAATATTTAGTGCATTTTGGTGAGACCTTGTATCTGTGTTACTTAAACTCAAGCCAAATGTAGAAGTGTTTAGCAGTCTCAACTTTCAGGCTGTTACCTCAGTCCTCCCTTATTTTATTTGCCTGCATTCCCTAATGTTTTTTTCAGCTGCCTTTAAGATGTATGGCCTTGTAAATGATACTGTTATTGTAGACCATAGGTGTAACATCCAGAAATTAAAAACACTTCCATGTTTTTATTCCCTTCGATATAAGGCCAGAGCCATGCTAGGAGTTAACATGGTTTATCAGCTATAATCCTGAGAGCCTTTTCTAATTTCTGTGGTGTTCTTGAGTCCTCTTTGTGGCTTACAGTTTGATATGAGGGTGCATTTGACAAACATTAAATGCTCAGATGGATTCATTGTGTCCAAATGATCCACATCATTTTGCATGACTACACTGACTTTGTTGTTATTTGTAACTCTGGAAGGTTTGGTGTTAGCCGCAGATTTTTGTTAGTGTTTTATTTTTATTTCTGGGTCTGTTAAAAAATACATGTATTATCTCTCTCGGCCAATGGGGGATGCCTTGTAGGTGCTCCCATACAGTACCAAATCCACACTGATGGTGACTGGGATTAAGAATCAATCCTTAATCCCAATTAACATGTGCTCTGTTAGCACATGGTTGTTTGGTGTTTTCTTTGATGGGTTACCAATTATGCATATGTATATAGTGCTCAGTTTGGAATACTGGGGATTTTTACTTTATCTTGAACTGTGTGCTTGTGAACACAAACATAGTGGTCACTGCCACCTGACCTGTAAATAGCACAAAACTGGAATATCTGAAAGGCAGGCTAATAGTTGGATTTCAGATAAAAAATAAGTATTTTTAATTAACAGTTTTTATAAAGGTGTAGTGATTGATCTCATTTTTTTTTCTAAAGCCCGCAAGTGGTTGGAATATAATGTGTATTAAATAAAATGCAAACCTCTCTTAAGGAAATCAAGCCATTAAACAGCCACAGCTCATATATCCAATGTGTTGGCAGTGTTTAGGTACTGAGACATACACTGGTGAAACCATTGTCCTTCTCTTTTTCTAGCTGCATCACTTCCAAATAGATGTGCCACTTAACATAATTTTTCGAACTACTCTTCTCACTCCACAGAGATTTGTTGATTATTTTTTCCTCTACAGCCTCTGTCTAATGTGAATCTGAGGTTCAGAAGGCATAAATTAAATAGGAGGTGTTTGAGGTTCTGTGTAACCATACTCAGATGCTAGTGGTCTGGTCTGCACTTGAAAAGGCAGCACATGTTTCATTTTAGCTGGTGTGGTAAATGCTCTCTGGAACAAAGAGATTTTAAAACATATTTTTGGTAATACCTTTCTTACCATTTTATGAGGCATGTGTGGCATTTGGAAGAAAGGATTGGTGATTTGCAGAATGGAGGTGATTTGGGGAACCACAACTCAAGTAACAGATGACAAATGGTGAAGAAAGCTACTTGGACAGCCTGGGCTTAAGATTTTGTAAAGTGATGTAATTGATTAGTGGTTGTTGTAGCATGCTCAGTTCTAAATCTGCAGTCTGTGGAGACCAGCCATAGCATTTCTTTACATTTTTTCTATTTTCCATTATTTCAGTAACACAGCAGTCTTCTTCTTTGTGTTTTTATCAGCGTACAATTTAGCAATAAAGTGATCTCTTCAATGAAATTTGCTGTAAAAACACTGGTCAGCCGCAACTAATGCACTTTGCCAAAAATCTTGCTGTGTTTATGAGAATTGTAGTGCTTTCTACTGGCTCTGTGTGGCACCATGTCCTGGCTTTGATTGGGATAAACAGTGGCTGTCTGAAGGGAGAGCATAAAAAAATGCATAAACAGAATTGTCGTCCTTCATACTCCCCCACCTTTCTGCCAACATCTGTGAGCAGGAGGCCACATTGCATTTTATAGTCCTCTATGGTCCTATCCTCCATGGATTTGTATAATCTTCTTTCTAATCCATCTACATTCTTGACATTTTCAACATCCTGTGACATTGAGTTCTGCAATTCTGTGATTGAGCATGGGATTTAATAACATGCTGAATGTTGAAGCAAATACAAGAACAGATAATTCACTTATTATATTTTTCTTATAAATTCACCTCCTTTCCAAGGTAGGTCTGCTCTCTCATTCTTTGTGCTTGGTCATTGTTATTTTGGATTTTTATAATAGCTCTAGACAAAGAATGTGCTGTATTGTTCTGATCCTGTGTCGCAGCATTAARTCCCATTGCTGTAGTAATAAGAATTTCTATCCTCTTGATTATTCAGAATATAGGGAGGGACAGGAGAATTTCAATATAAGAATAAAAGCAACACTGTAGATACATAAGAACAGAAGCAACCCTCTCTGTAGACATGGAAGAAGATGAGAACTTCACAGGAAGGCTTCAGTTTCTTATTTAACAGAGACGATGCAGAAATGTGTGGTGTACAAATGAACACTGAAATTACTCATTCTTCTGTGTGGTGTCCTCATCTGACATGGATTAATTCTGGGTGCTTCCACATTAAGTATACACAGAACATACCACAGAACAATTAATTCTGAGTGTGCATGTTTTTGTGATTGAAGGTTTATCACTATAGACTTGTTTTTATACTTAGGTTTAGATTAATGGATTTCCACTTTTAAATGGGCCACTCCTCTCAAAACACCTTATTAGCTGAGCGAAGATTTTTAGCTCCTGTAATCCTGTTAGACAGGTTTATCACTGTGGCTTGTTTAGGTTATGACTTATATTCTTGGTGAACAGCGTCACAGCTAGTGTTTGTCTCTGCCAAGCCTGAGGCACTGGGGTATCTGTTAAGGAGCATTGATGCCAGTTCTTCTTTTTTGTCCTCTGATTGAACACTGCAAATTTCATATAAAGATGGACATAATTTAACACACATTAATGCTTCTTTCACTGGGAATTTGTGTACATTAATAGGCAATGGAATCATGTGTTCTGACARCAAGCTTGAATAAAATATTTTCTCTTAGCATCCTTCTCCCTCATACACTTCTTGTTGTTTTCCAGCATCAAGAGATCAGACAATGGTGTTTCTCACCACTGTGAATTTATACTGTAAAGGAAATAATGTTTTTAATCTGTATCCTAAACCAGCCAAGACTTCTCAACTTATATTGAGAGCTGTGCTGGAAACTTCTCTCTTGTCCCCAGCAATTAATTGCTCATCTTTTTTAGCCTCTTAGTGGGTTGTCCCTGTGTTTTCTTTCTCAAAAATTTAGACCTCTTAAGGGTTTTGAGGCTGGAGCTTTTAAATATGAGGCTGGAAGAGAGATGAGGAAAAGGGTACAAGGTATTTAATGTGTGACTGACATGCAAATAAATTGTAAGAGTTGGATATGTACCCCTTGGAAAGAATTGGGATTGGTGGGAGCTCACCGTTCTGAGCCTCAAAGCACACATTAAGGAGGATGGTGGATAGTCACAATATCCCAGAGAAAATCTTTAGCAGTGRGTAGAGATATATGCATTTGTTTCTTTTCCTTTTTAAGTTTTCAGATGAGCGTTACATAATAAAAARCAATCCTGAATAATCAGAAGAATTTTCCATTGCTGCACTTTAAGATCCATATTGAACCACATTTTGATTGCTTGGATGCTGTTGCCTTTTTCAGTTGAGACTTGTCATGGATGATTAGAACTTAGGAGATGAAATTCTGTTCCCCATCTCCAAGGCACAGCAGTCTTTAGCATCATCACCTGTCTTTCACGGGAGTTTCCTTTTGGTCTTTTCCTGTTGCTTTTGTCTAAGACTCCTTTTAAAATATGGTATGTGGGGCTGTTGTCTTTTATTGAAAGACTGCTGGTTATTCACAAAGTATATCTGTCACCAAATGATGGTTATCCTGAAAAATGGTGACTGAGAAATGGCTGGTGAAAACAGAAAGTAATGTGGCTGAAATCCATTAGCAAAAGTCCATATATCTTCAGTCAGGATAAACAAATTCTGCTTTTYAGTGCTTAGCTTAGAAGGAGAAATATTGTTGTGATAGGGGTTTTATTTATTGACTGAAAACAATTATTATACACTSTGTCTGAAACATACCTTTGGTTTAAAAGCTGAAAAACTCACCAGTACATATAACTGATTGATCTGGATAATGCTGAGGTAGCATTAGAGAGCATGTATGTGTGTCAGAGGAAATTTAGGTTTAGAAAGGCTGAAGAAGCAACTCTTTATTGCCCCTAAATCTGCTCTAAAGCTTTTGGGAAGTACTTTCTCTGTGTTATTTCTGCACTTTGAAAGGCCTGTTAGTTTCTTCAGACAGATAAAATGTTAAGATGTGGAAATGTGAGAAATAAGTTGTGGAATGATCCCACAACAAAGAGTCATTATAATGTACATGTAAAGCCATATCAGTTGCCAGCATGAAGTCTTAAAAGCCAGGTGAAGATTATCAGTCTTCTGAAATCTGCCGCTTTGCTCACCTTTACAATGTGATGATATTATGTGTTTCTCTTAGTGAAGGTGATTTTTGCTACAGCTGGAGGTGGAAGCTATTTCATAACAGTCTGTGGAAGGGCGCTCTGATGTCCAGGCTACTTTTCAGTGCACATATTCATGGAAGTTAAAAATTGTGGAATAAATTGTATTTAAAGTTCAAAATAAAAATGCTATTGAAGCTCAAGGTAAATTTTAATTTTCAAGCAGACTTCTATGTAAGTGATGTTCTCAAGCTGTCAATGTAAGTGAAAAAATAAGAGAACTTATGAAAACTATTGCTCTTTAAGGAAAAGAAAGTACACTGCATAATGTCAGTTCCTCAAATATTGTACTACCTACCTTTGTGTATGTGTCAATGCTTTGTGTCTATCCTTTTCTCTTGTGCTAAGGCATTGTTGGTTTGGTAAGAGAACCATAGTGCTGTGCACTTCTGCCTTGTGCCTGATCTCCCTGCAGCTGACCGTAACACCCTTTCTGTTTCTTTAGTGCGAGCAATCCCACCTGATGAGAGAGCAYGAAGATGTGCAGGAGCGAACAACGCTGCGCTATGAGGAGCGGATCACGGAGCTGCACAGCATCATTGCTGAGCTCAACAAGAAAATTGATCGACTGCAGGGAGCAACAATAAGGTACAGCAGCTTCCTGGAAGTTCTGGGCTGAAGCATGACTGGTGCAAGACATGGTGTGAATTATACTCTAAATATAATATGATGACAACTTTAGGGCWTGTCATGACAGGTACACTGAGTAGATGCTCATAATTAAGGTGTATGTTCTACAGGGTATCATCCCAAGCCCCGAAGAAATGCTGCATTCTCTTTGGCAAAGTCACACTTCCCAAAATCTTGSAAGCACTGCAAAACATGCACTGTGACATCTAAATACTCATTTTTGTAATGTGCCAGGGTGATACATTAGTGATAGCAATAGTGTGTAAACGAAGGTGAAGATACCCAGCCTAAGCCTCTGCTTTTAAYTTTATTTTGTGGTCTCCTGTAGATCACTTAAGCAAGTAATTTGTGGGAGAGGTATGGTTCAAACACCTTTCAGTAGGTTTTGCCTTTTCTTGTGCTGGGATTTTTGACAAAACACAACAATGTGGTACAAATCACATTGTTGCCTATTTTTGGAGCAGAAAATGTTGGGATATTACACTAGATTGCTGCTATGTTAAAATAAACGTAATGTTTGACTACAAGGAAGCATTTTTCCTTGCTTGTTTTTACCCATTATTCTCACTGTAGAAAAGTTGGACTAGCATGTAAAAGGAGCTTCTTAAAGTTTATTCAGGGAGGGTGCAGCTAAAGTACTAGATTCTRTGGATTTTCTAGAGAAGATCAAGTTAGTTTTGATGCTTTTGTGGGTAATGTTGATGTGGTGCTCTAGCCACAGTTTTCCTTTACCTATTAACTGCACTTTTTTTGGTAATTGCATCATTTCTTCTTTCATGTAAACATTTCTGCTAGCCTAAGGCAATGTTGTTAAAACTACTCAGTCTTTCATGAGAATATTAATATGCAAAAAGAAGGCTTGATGTACCATAATTGAGAAGGAATATCATCACTTGTATATTTACCACTACTAAAGCAGTGGTACAATGACATTTATGTTATTTAAGAACATAAATGCTGTTGCCTGTGAGATGATCATAACTAGTAAGGGTCATGATGAGATTTTTCAGATATTTTCTATGCTGGTAGTACCTCTCTAAAAAAGCACTGTGTCTCTCTTGTTTATTCTGGCTTCATACCTCTGCAGACAAACTTTCCATTGTCTTTTGAAAAGACTAGTCAAAAAGCAAAATCTGAGAAAGTCTCAGAGCTGCATGGATTTTTTTTTCTTGAATGACAGAAAARCTCTATGACATTTAAGGAAAATATTACATAGAATTCATTTAAATGGTATGTTTGGAATCCTTGTGCAAAGTAAATGCCAAGTGGTGTTCAGYTACAAAATACTGGAATCAGGTGGATACTCTGAATGCTTAACTATGTCTATAAATAAGTCAGCTGCGACATGCTCAAGAAAGTGAGGTGCAAGAACCAAGACTGATGGGATGTTCGTGTTGCTTCTCATAAAAAAAATGTGGCTTTTCTGTGCCTTYGGGAGGGTTTCGGCCTTTAAAGGCATCAAAGCAATATTGCTGAAACAGGTGCCACACTACTGTGATGCCTCTCCAGTTTATTTGGTCATAGGAGAGTGTGTTTTGCACAGACAGCTGGAATGCTTCATGTGGTTTTATTTGTTTTGGTTTTATTAGTAAGAACAAAAACSGTTTGTTAAGTTAGTGGCTCTTTTTGTTTCCTTTAATGATGGAAACAGCTTGTTTTCTTTGGCAGGCCATTAGTTTGGTGTCTGGGGAATGGAGGAATAACATTCCTCCAAAAAACGCAACTGAAGGGATTCCACAGAGTTTGTAAAGACAAGAAGGAAAACTGATAACCTCCTGCTGTGGCTTTGTGTAAATTCACGTTGAGATCCACATATGTCGTTCTTGAGAAGCTGTCTGTGCATCCCATAGAGCAGGGGTGGTGCAGTTGCTGTCCTTGCTGGAACAGGTGTGACTCACAGCACTCCACCCTTGTCTCTGGGGACAGTTGAGTCCAGGAGCTGGAACAGAACAGTCCAGAGAGAAAGTGTTCTGGGAGCATGGCCCTGCTAGGGTCTCAGCAGTTAAACTTTCCTCTGAAACAGGAGAATTTTAGTTTTGATTTGCATCTCTGAAGGCAATGCTGATCAGAGGTGGCTTTACTTGTGCTGTCACAAAATTTGGGCTGTCTCTCTGGAAGCAGAGCTTACATTAATTGCATAACAGATGTATGTTTCCCCAGTGCTGACACAGTGACTGTTAAGTTTTTTCACATATTGATTTTAGACTGTAAAGATAAATTAACATGTAGCTTCGTAACCTCTACTCTATGGTATTCTTTTTCGTTCCTAAACCCAAAAATATTCTGGAAACAATTAGAAGAAAACTGTTTTATGGATGGTATTTGACTATCCTCTTTAAATTCTATTACCTTTGTTTGAATGTGAGCAGTACCCTCAGAAAGTAGGACAGAAAGTAAGCAGACACCATGTTTAAATCTGAATAAGATGTTGCAACAGTTTGAGGCAGAGTGTTGGCAGGCTGTGTAAGCTGGTTAATATTCTCCAGTCTGAGGATTTGTCCCTCTTTGTTTTCTTTGTTTTTTGGTGTGCATGTTGGAGGGCTTTTTTTTTTTTTCCTTTGCAATGTCAGGGCAGTTCACAAGTGTAATAGCTTTTGCTCATGTGGTTTGGGAATGCCAGCTCTAGAATCATGGAAAGGTTTGGGTTGGAAGGGACTTTAAAGACCTTCCGGTTCCGACCCCTGCCATGGGCAGGGACGCAAGACCAGGTTGCTCAGGGCCCCATCCAACCTGGCCTTGACACTTCCAGCAATGGCGCAGCCACACCTTTCCAAGAAAGGAGTGTACTTAAGTCACATGGCAATGCAGGTGTCTCTTCCCAGATGTATGTGATAKGCTGATCCCAGTGACAGTAATCTTAACAGGAATATTTCTAGAATTTTACAGGATTTTTCTAGGTTTGCTAACCATTTCCTGAGTACAGAATGTTCCATGTGTGTGGCCCCATGAATTTAGCTKCAACTCTTAACGCTATGTTCTTCCAGCATTCCCTAAGGAAAATGGGTCCTTTGTGTGTGGGGGTGCAAGCCATCATTCATCTGCAATTTTCTCATCTCCATGCTGCTGCTGCTCTGGACAGCCCAGCTGCTTTGGAAGCCAAAAAAAAGGCGGGGGTGAGAAAAGTGAGTTGCCAATACTCAAATACTGTGTGCAAGTAGATGAGCCCCTCTGTTTCCAAGGACCTCTGTCCTTTGACAAGGTGTGTGYCTACTGCAATTTTCTCTCCCAAGCATGTACAGCTTAGAAGATAGGAAAACTAATCAAATGGACCTTTTCAATTAGAGCCATGTTGTAAATACTTGGACATAAGGATTACATCCAGTAACTGTGAAGCACAAAAACTATTTAGAAATTATACAGTAGAGTACTAAAATTCAATTTAAGGTGAATATTTCTGACTTCAGAAGYTTTTAGTGTTGCCTTAAATTCATTCAAACTTGATTCTTTATTTCTTAATCGTTTCTTTGGCTGTGAAAATCAACTTTAAGTTCATCATGTGACTGACAGTTTTTCTTAGATGTCAAATTGAGGCTCAAGAAAAGGAAAAGAGAGATATCTCATTGCTTTTAGCTGTAAACCAGGGGCTGTTTGGGTACATCTCTGCAATTCTGAAAACAGTGAGCAGCTGTAACAATACCAGACAAAATATACTCTGTTCAGTTGCCTGCTAAGAATTACTTGAAACAGTTGTCAAGAAGTTTGTAACCCATTACTRTAAAACCATTTGTTCCAACTTATAACTTTGAATTTGAGATACATCTGGAAAGTAGGTTGTGTTGCAAGTTATTGGAGAASAGGGGAAGTGAACAGACTGCAGCATCACCAGAAATAACACACATGACTTGCAGTCACATTTACACTGTGACCTGGAGGTCTAATTCTAGCCTCTAATTATGTGCTGGGTGGAAGGTGGCACATACTGGATTCAATTCAAATGGTGGTGTGGGTGTGATAATGTTGGCTTCAGCACACAATGCCCAGCTCCACCTGCCCTCAGTGATTAATTTCCATGCTGTTYTGAGCATGTTACTATTTCTTCACAATGAGCTGGTTCAGAGGGACCTCAAGTGTTTGTACACAGAGTGCAGTCAATCTTCATGCATGCATGCCTGTAGTATTTTCTGAGGGACTTAGAGGGTTTTAAAGTTAAATCATTGTTGAAAAACTGCTTGCACTTGAAGGACAAAACTGTGGACTGTTTGCAGCCCTGAAGAGAACATGCACCTTGCCAGTGTTCTGTGGTGTGAAAGAATGCTGAAAAATGTGTCATTTTCCTCACTGTTTGAACAAGTTTTTCTCTATCTGTGCAGCACTCTTGATCTTTGGTTTCACTTGATCATGAAGCAATCAATTTGTGTAGAAGTAACTGGAAACAACAGGKTTTTTTTCTCCAACGTGCATCCCATGCCCTCTGTGTCTAGAATGGCTTGATCTGGTCTTAATTGCTGCCTGCTCACCATGAGATTCCAACAAGTGGGACCATCAGGGCCCATAATAGAGCAAATGCCTGCTTTTTGCAATCAGGCTACTAYTGATGACAGCAAGAAGGAAGTTATAATGACTCCACTTTGTGGGTATTGTGACAGGAGTCCAGTGGCTGGCCATTGGCAGCTCTCAAGCATCTTGCATTTCCAGTGCCACTGGAGGACTCTTTTTCTGTTTTGGGGAAAGGAAAATTTCAAAYAGTACCTTTTGTTACTACCAACGTCATTTTGAAAAGCAGAATTTATATTTGTGATGTATCACTTCCCCCTTATTCTTGCCCTCAGTCTGTTCCCAGTGGGACTGGTGGTGGAAGGACTSATTGACTTTATCAGAAATGGGTTTCTGATCTTTCTAGTCAGATTTTAAAAGCATTAGTTTATTTAGAAATTGACATCTGGCTTGAGTCATCAGATAGGTCTGAGTCCTGCTGCGTGATACAGCTTTCAGCTGCCTGGAGATACTGAGGGCACTTAAACTGAAAAACTCAGAACTGTTGCTGGTTAGATGAGGCTATGTTGTATTTTAAACAGAAAAATCAAGGAGAGCCCAAAGAAGAGCGCTGAGAAATTATTATTCTGTGTGCCATTGGTTTAGGGCCAAYAGAGCTTCTTGTCCATTTGTACAGGTAATTCAGATTTTAAAAATGTAAGACTAATAGTTTCATAAATGAAAAAAATCCGTTACCTTCAGATGAAAAATTACAACTGTTTGAGTGCTTGATAATTGTTTTTGTCTAAAGCTTGTGGCTTTTTGTGGCTAATAACAAACTGGTTCATGGAACATTAACTGACACTTATRTTTTCATTACACTCTTTTAACTCCTGTTAGTCATGGTTAGGTTCTAACACTGTCTTAAGTATTGCATGGTACCTTTTGTTGATCTAAATCTCAGTGTCAACCAGCTGGCCTCCATTTTTTAGTAATAGTAGTCACTTAGTGCTTCTGATAAGGTCATACTTMATTTGCACTGAAGCAAATGTAAGCACTAGCAGAGCATAGTAGTAATTACATCTTGGTTTCTTGGGAAACCCTGCTAGGCAAGCAAGCTGGAAGTCCTTTATTGAATTTTATTGAGGTTTCTAAGTTTTCACCTGTGCAGTTCTGAGAGCAGACTTCTGTCATTGATACCTGTATGTATGGGCCATCTTCTCTGCTATTTTGCCTGACAAATCAAGACACACCTCCAGGCTGAATCCTGCAAGAAACACTAATCACCATGTAACATGCACACAAGAGATCTAACATTACCCCTCCCAGATACCCCTCCCAGAGGCAGATCCCCACATAGGTCTTTGCTGTTTCTTGTTTTTTCCAAAGCCAGATAGTTCCATTCTCACACTTTTTTGGCTGAATCTGCAGCAAAATGGATCTCTGYATGTGATTTACTGTGCAACAAAATKATGCCTGTTTGTTTTCTATCAGAGGGGCTCTGCACCTAGATAAACTGGTATTTTTCCAATGTTTAAAATAGATACTTTAATGTAAAAGCAGTCACTATGAACATAAAAAAAAATAAATCTGAGTCAAATCAGCAAGAGGATCAAAAGAAAAAATGTTTACAAATGTTCTCAAGCAAAGCTATTATTCATTTACTTATCTTCTTTCTCAGTGCTTTGAACTCTTTGTGTGGAGACAGGAGGGAAAAGCCTTAATTTTTTAAGCTCATTAGCTGTAACTAAAGTATTCTGTGTCCTCAATTATTTTAGTTGAACCAGCTTGACAAATAAATTAAAACTTAGGTAATTGAGGCTTTTTCTTTTCCACTCACTCCAGCAGTTCAGTGCAATACTCACTTAACTGTTCCTCTCTCTTTTGGAAGGAGAAAATGAAAAACCTACCTGTCTCCAAGAGCATTTGGTTCACTTGTGCAGATACATGCATGTGCATGCTTGCCTTGCACACAAGATGGTGACATCCTTAAACTAGCTGAGAAAGAGACCAAAAGCAGTTACTTTTAATCTACTTGGGGTCAAAGCCATTAGTGCTGACCTGTGTGAATTRTCAGCTGGGGAGTCACTGCAAAGTGGTATGTGTCCTTGCACACAGCCTTGCTAGCACTCAGTTCCACCATTGCTTCATTCTCCAGTGGCCAGGAGTAATAGTGAACTTGGGGGTAAAGAAATGGAAACCAGGTAGTGGCTGCTGCAAGTGAGTGTCATGGGCATAACAGTGAAGGGTATAAAGTCATCTCTACTGACTGGACAAAACACTTGTCTGAGCTGTGACTCAGCTTAAAGGTCTGAAATGAGTGTCACGAAGATGCACATTTCCTCAGATTTTATTTCTGCCTTTTCTCTCTCTGCCAGGGAGGAGGATGAGTATTCAGAACTGCGGTCAGAGCTCAGCCAAAGCCAGCAGGAGGTTAACGAAGACTCACGCAGCATGGACCAGAACTCTGTCTCAGTGCCAGAGAACCAGTCCACCATGGTCACTGCAGATGTGGGTGAGTTATGTTCTTAGCAGACTTCATGCCTTTCCACAGCAGCAAGATGTCATAGTTTTTGAACAGCAAATCCAAGCATTTGGTGAGGAAATTACTTAATTCAGGATGTGTTAATCACAATTGATGCTGAACTTCCACATGGCTGTGAACTTACGTGTGAAGTATCCTCTGTGACTTGGCTATAGAATCATAGAATCACTAAGGCTGGAAAATATCCTAAGGATCATCAAGTCCAGCCTTTGMYACCCAGCTTTGCCACCATTAAACCATGTCTTCAAGTGCCATATCCACATRGTTTTTGAACACTTTCAGGARTGGTGATTCCACAGCTTTCCTAGTCCATCTTTTCCAAAGCTTTACCCCTGTCCATGAATGTGTTTTTCCATTTATTCAATCTAAGCCTCTCATGGTGTAGCTTGAGGACATTTGCTCTTGTCTAGTCACTTGTTACCAGGGAAAAGAATCCAACCCTCACCTGACTGCAGCCTCCTCTCGAGTAGTTTTGGAGAGTAGTAAGATCCCCCCTGAGCCTCCATTTCTCTCGAAGCAGACCACCTAGCAGAATTCCGGTGTAATCTCCGCAACGACAGATTTCCAGAATTCTCTTCAGAACTCTACTCTGATTTTTTATACTATATTGTTCATAAATGTAAGACCTGCAACAGCACATTCGGTGTCCGTGATTTCTAGAAACATTGATACAACAGTATTAATAATAGTATGACTGCGAAGTGTATGATCTYGGGAATTCAAAGTATAAACAAGAAAAGTTTAATAGAAGTTTAAGAGAGGTTTTTATGGTCTTGAAAGATTAATGTTTTACTTTCAAAAGTTAATGTTTACTGTTAAGTTCCTACTTGGACAGATTCTCATWCGAGTATTTTTTCCCCTTCATTTTCTTGTTACCAAAAAAACCACCAAAAAACCCAAAAATCTCAAAAAACCCAAAACAAACAACAGCAACCAAACCCAAGCTAATTTGTTTTTCAGGATTTATTTTGTCTTCATGAAGTGAAACTGAGCCAGGGTTTGTGGACATAAACAGCAAGTTGTCTATTTAAGTTTGTTCTAACAATAAAAAACACTGCAATAGAATGACGTACAGTGTAGAGGCCTAGAAGATAAGGGGGCTGATGGGTCTGTCTCAAAAAACAAAAGCCAGATAGCTCTGGAGCCAGCCAGATTTATTTTTATTACCAAGGATTGTTGGTAATAACACACTGTGAGACGGAACAGGATGTGGCTGGAGAAGGGAGCCATGCAGAAGTACAGGCATCACTTTTCAGGGCCAAATGTCCTTGTTTAGTTCCTGATCATAAGCAAAACATAGCACATGGCAAGCACAGACATGAGACTGAGAAGTGGGCATGGGCTTTAGAAARGAATCTTGACCAGCTATGACCCCAGAAGCCCTCCCACCCATTTCTAGAAAGGTCTGAATTAACAGATTGCCCATGATATTTAATTTGCATAGAGAGGGAGAAACTTAATCTCCAGAGCAGGGATAACTTAATTGTAAAGGTTCCTCCACAAAGCACAGTTCTGCTTGTGCAACTCAGCACCATGAACATCAAGCTGGATCATACCAGCCAGGACTGATGATCCCTCCTCTTCTCTTTCTCTCTCCCTCTGTGTAATTCATGTGTCTTTTCCCCTCTTTTTCCCCTCTTCCCTTCCACACTTTATCCCAAAGTTGCTGCCATGTGCTTACATAGTATGTCAGGACCCAATTTCCATGCTAAGTGTGTAACCTATTAATAAGACTTTGTGAGCTTTTGTGAACCCTTTGACTTTTGTCATTCCTTTGACCACAAGCATCTACAAATCTTGGGTGCTYCCTTAAGAGTAGGACTCACAGCAGTGGATAAAATAAGAATCTCTAGGCATTCCTGCATTTCTTCCATATTTTCCTTCTGWCCACAGACTGTGTTTTTTTGGGTGTTGTTTCCATATTCCTGTGAAAATAAATTGCACGCATACATACATACAGATACAKGAATATGTATAATTGTTAATCCTTCTAGATATAGGTATACAAGGATAAAAAATCGTTAATAACCCATGTGCCTGACTTGCTTAGTTCTGTAATGGAATGAGCATCAGTGACTTAGTAAAACCAGTAATACCTCATGACACACTGATATATGTARGTCTGCTGCTCTGTTGTTAAAAGCAATAAAACACCTACAGCCTGAGCAGTGAATGTTCTCCAGTACGTCTTGCAGAGCTTGTGATTGGGCTGTGCTGGTTTTCTGTCAGAAATGGGGTTTTCGTTTTGTAAACCATTTATTTTATGAGGGAAATGTTATTGTCACAACAAATGCCATAAAACAAGGTCTTGTGAAGGTTTTTTAAATGTACGAAAAGTTTATTATAGATGATCATGGGGAACAAAGCAAATTTAAGCAAACGAAACACAAGGTTTATAGAAGTAAGCATCTTGCTTGTTACATACTGCTACACATACTCYGTAAGTGAATGTTATTATTATAAAGGACTTTTTTGGTATTATTACAACACATGGGTGGCTGCTAGTTAGGAATTAGTGAAATTACTTCCCAGAATAAAGTTTTATGTGTTGCCCATTCACGTTTTTCATGCAATGCGGTCATGTCATTCTAAACTCCACTTTTTGATCAGCAGTAGGTTTGTGTTTATATGTGCTAGGCTGTGGAATTAGATTTATGATCATGAGTTGGCAGGTTTTTTTACTTTCTGTTCCTCTCATTCTGTCATCCAGGAACTCTCAGTCTTCCCTTGCATGGGCAGATTTCAAGGCAGTCTGCAATAATGTGGTGACTCGTGTCTGTTATAATTCAGACCCAGTTCAATGCCACACAACTTTAGTGCCCTGCAGGARCCACAGCTATGAGGCTACCACGAAATTCTGACCATGGTGAAGCGCTTGCAGAAGCAGTACAGGAATAGCTCCCCTCCACCAAGAATGCCTGCCTCTGTTTTTCGTGGGAGAGAGGACTTGCGGGTGTGCTGCCGCCTCATAGTGCACCCGTTGTGTGCTCTGCTGTGGGCAGCTGTTGCAAACTCCTGCCTAGCAAGCCAGAAGTACTGACTGGCAAATCCAGGAGGCAGCACAAGGGTGAATTCTGCCACAGGTCTGTCTTAGGAACAGCCATTCTGTGTCAACAGAGGTGAACATGAGAAAAATGAAAATAATTTATGGAGTGAGCCAACAAGGTACAGAGACCCACTTGTTTTCACAAAAGTGGAGGATGCTATGGCAGTAGGCATTAGGAGAAGTTTGCCCAAAGACAGGAAAGGAACCCATTCTCTGTGTTATTTTATAATTAAAATAATATTTTAATAATTTTTAGTATAAGCTGCCAATATGGTTGTAGTGTGGAACATAACAACAAGCAGTGGTGTTATGATCCTTGAATATTCTGCAGTTGCATTTGAAGGAGTAGCTGTTAAAATAAACACAAGCTCTAAGATAGTTGGTAGAGATCATTTCTGTAAACACCATGGTTTTTTAAAATCAGGCAGTAGCTAAGTACAACCACAAAAATTCCTCGGAAAAACAGCAAGTCATAACATCACTGAATGTACCAGACAGAAGAATGTTGTATTTACAGAGATGAACATATGAGATAAATAAAATAGGGAGAATAGGCCTTGAATGACGAAAGGAGCAACATAAAGAAATGTCACAGAATGTAAACATGTAATATTTTAAAATGTTCTTCAGAAAAGAGGGGGTTTTGAAGAGCAAGTGAACACTTCAGATAAGCTGTGGGGCTGTTGTTTGTCAGATGAGAGGTAGCTCATGATTTCAGTTGATGTGATTATGGTATTTAAGCCTACATGTTGTCGAGGAGAAAGTGGCAGAGTGCAAGGACATTCTTTGAACAGTATCAATCCTGGCTGTTCAGCAGCAGGCACTTCCCAGTTAGAGGTTTTTTTTCACTGTGTCACTAATTGTTACGATGTTTGTTTTGTTTTGTCTTGCTTTCTTTTAGATAACTGTAGTGACTTGAATTCAGAACTGCAGAGAGTGCTGACAGGTCTGGAAAATGTTGTCTGTGGGAGGAAGAAAAGCAGCTGCAGTTTATCGGTGGCAGAAGTGGACAGACACATTGAACAACTCACTACTGCCAGTGAACATTGTGATTTAGCTATTAAGGTAATGTAACATTAGACTCTAAATGCAGTGTGTACATTTCCTGAGACATCTGAAAACTTCTATAGTAATCAGACTTCGCTTCCAAAGGTGTTTAAAGTACTACACAGGAGTCAACTTGAGTWCACAGTGTGTGTTGGGTAAGTAGTAACACACCTGTTTTACACCTTTCAAGGTCCAGGAGGAGCTACTAAAACACTTTGGAGTTCAAATCAGAAATGTACTTTTCTTATGGTCATTTCAAAGATAGAGAAATGGGGACGCTCAACAGTCAATTTACTTTCTTAAGCAAGTTTGTTTATCCAGCRAACAGGTTGTCACCTGCCCAAGGTCCTACAAGTAATCATTGACCAGTGACTGAAAACACAGTGTGTATGCCTAAATTGTGATTTGGTTGTCTCAAAATATAAAGCTGTCCTGATTCCAGGCAGGACTGGATTAATTTTTGCAGTATCCAGGATGGGGTATGGCCAGGTTATCCTGTATCTATCATATTCCTGGCATCCCTTCCTGGTCATATATTCTTGGGGGTGAGGACTCGTGCAAATTGTCCATTTCTTTTAGTCTGTTGTTAGTATTTTTGCAATTACTGTTCATTTTCTTACCTCATTGCTGTTTCCAGTAAATTGTTCTTGTCTCAACTCCTGATCTTTGCCTTTTGTGCCTCCTGTTTCCTTTTCCGTTCTGCCACAGGGGACTGGCTAGTAAGTGAGCAGGGTGTGGTTTGGAGTTATTTCAGTGGGAACACTAAATTGGTGAACACCATAACAAAAGCTAATTTAACACAAAATATGTTTTGTGCTTTAGTTCAAATGAGATAAGTCAGACTCAGGAACAAATAAGTCAAGTGGTAGCTGTATGTGTTGCATTTATTGTGCATGTAACAGAAGACGAAGAGACACTGCAATTCAGAAGCYGAAAGCAAGGGAGTCACAAACAATCTTCCTATGTACAGTGGAAGACCTGAAACAAGTTTTTTTGTGTCAGGTGGAAAGGTACCAGTGGCTCATTTATACAAGAAAAATTATATTGACAGTTTACTCTAGAAGTGGGAAGGTCTGAGACCATTCTAGATGGCTTTGACAACCRTTTGTTCTGCTACTGGGAAAAGTTCCTTCTCTCCCTGGTGGTGTCTGAGAAACACAATAAAATACGAAGCAATTAATGCTGAGTTAATTAAGAAATTAATTTGAAGAATGTGTGTATATTTGACTGCTGGTCTTTTGGGGTCGGTATTGAAAGAGTTTATTTGAGCATCTCAGAGGATTGGGATCAGTACTATGAATGTTGTCAAGTACTGTTTGGAGTTTTAGGGTTGACTGTTTTCAGAAGTCAGTATTTGCCAATAGAGACCGTGGATTCTGGGAAACAGGAAGATATCCACCTGTGTGAGACACATAGAGGTATCTGAAGTAAGATGTGTTTAATAAAGCTAAATCTATCTGTAGAACCCCTCTCTGCATTTCCACTCCTGGCTACTGGTCATTTCTGCTCTCCTCTTTCCTCAGAGAAAAAACGGACAGATTTTTAAAGTGGGTGAAATCATGAATGGAAACCAGAAGTATTCTGTCCTTTGCCTTGACTGTTGTCTTTTTTCTTTGTCAACCGACTTACACATTAAAATGTTTTGAAACTTTCAGCTTTGGTAATTAAATTTCACTGGATTCCTTTTAATGCAGTTGCTGCTGAATTATTTTTTTCTTCTTTTATACAAATCATTGACCCTAGCTAACTCAATTGTTTCTGTCCCACAAAAACTGAAAAATCCTTGAAACTAAATTTATCAGATTGTCTTACAAACTGAACAGTTACAAAAGCAACCTTTAAGAAAATTTCCACAGAATAGTGTGATTAATGCTTCATTTATTTTGGAGAGCACATCAGGAACAGATACCTAACTACTAAAACTTTGCTGATTAAAAAAGCTTTAAGTATYACCAAGCATGAAACATTTAGCACATGAGAACAGCTGCACTGGGTCGGACCAACCGAAAGTGCATCTGCCTAGTGGCAGATGCTAATGGAAAGACAGCATCAAAAATTACATGCTTAGTGTGTTGTTTTTCTTCCTTCAAAGATGCTGACAGCAAAGTGGGTCTGTAGGGACTTTTTGGATCAAAGATGATGTCTTTGTGTTTAACAGTAATGGCAGGAATTCTCTTCCTTTTTGTATCTACTGTGTTTTTTAACCTGTCTAAATTTTTTGCTTTCATAAATTCTGTTAGGTATAAATTTTACATTGAGTTACACTGTGTGAAGAGGTATAACTTTCACTTCTTTTAAACCTGATACTTGCCGATTTAATCTGATACCACATCTGTAACACAACACTTCTTGTAAAGAAGGCAGAGACCACTGATAGCAGTGTCAGAGACAAGACTGGAATTACCATGATATGACATCCTGCTGCCCTGTGCTCAGAACACGACATTGTAATTCAATCCCATATTCCGTGAAGTTATACCTGAATTGTCTGCTGGGCAGCAACACACCATATAAAACTGCTGTGTAATGCTGCTTTGAAGGAAAATAATTAACATAATTTTACACAGCTGTATCTATGTGCAATGTTCATGCTTTGTTTTCCATGGAGAATAGTTGGTAGCATGTTGGACACCAGAGAGTTGTAGTGCTTTCAGGAGAAGCCGTGGCTTAGGAAAGGGAGGGGTTGGGAAAATAGCAACAYTGGAGTGTGGGGAATAAGGAGGAAAGAGGCAGAATCAGAACTTCACATTAGAGGGTTAAGAAAACAGCAGGGGTAGTTGGAGAGGGTTGTAGCGGGAAGAAGGGAGAGGAGAAATCAGCAACAAAGAGGCACTGTTTATGAAAAACAAAGTTGGCATCATCAAAAGAGAATGCTCCGCCATTATATAGCTTTATAGCTTTTCTGTTCGTACTGAGGTTAACCAGCCAGTGCTTATTCAGAACTTGAATTCATCCTTACGGTGCATTGAAATAATTTACCTTGTCATAATTTGAGATGTGTGGGTCTAAGTGAAGCTAATATGGGGAGAGCTGCAGCTTCTTTTATATCAGAGAGAAGTTGCAAGGCTCTGCTTATTCAGAAAAGTAATTTCAGTTTCCTGCCAAATCTGTAAGCAGAAACAGAGTAGATACTCTGTCAATAGAGTTTCATAATTGTAGCTCTAAGTGTATTGCAGTTTTATGTAAGAGAGACATTAAATACAATTCAAAAGGATAAACTGAACAAATAATAAAATTTCATTAGTACCTCAGTCAGTGCTGAAAACAGTGGGAAGATTTCTTGCAGAAAAAAAAGAAATCGTGTCTCCAACTAAGTTTGTCGTTTTCAGCTGTACTTTAGTTGGTTCTTTTTGTCCCTCCCAAATTAAGGAAATAAACAAGGCAGTAATTTTTCTTATTTATAGAATCATAAAATCATAGATATGCTGAATTGGAAGGAGCCCTTCAGGATGTAAATATTCTTTTGAATAAAACAACTAAATACTACTAACCTTGATGCATGAGTTATCTTCCATATTAGATGTAAAAATATAGGCTTTACCTACGACCTGTTTTTAGATTAGCCAGTGAAATGAAACTTCCTGCTTTGCCAGTAATGTCATATATTCTTTTATTTTCCATGTTTCGTCCCATCATTTTAATACATACTACTTTCWGAAAGGTTTGAAAGCTTATGAGCAACATTTGAAGCTGCAGATATCTTCCATAGTTGAAGAAGTGGATACAGGCATAGCATATGCTGGGTAGTAGATTTCAAACTGCAGGTGGTTCTCTGACACCATGAGTGTTAAGCTGTTTCAGCGTGTTGAGCGGCCAGTCTGACAGTTCAGGCATGGTGATATTCCCTTGCTGGTGGTGGATGGGTGCTTGTAGTTCAGTTGCACCCACTGGAAGTTCCTGGATGTCCCTTGTACTGAGTGGTGCCTGCTGGGCACAGATTTGAGCACAGAGGTGGGACAGGAAATGCTGGGTGACACTATGTGTCCCAGAGAACTACTAGACACTGGAAAGGCTGTGACATCCCCTGTAAGCCTAGCCAAGGCCAGAGTTCTTTCTTTTATTTTGGTGTCACCTCAAGGAAAAAACATACTCAGGGACATGGGAAAGAAGAGCCCTTTTTTAATCCTCTCCCACTCTTTTCCTTGCCCTTTTGTAGCATTGGTCTACCAATAAATAAGGYCCCATGCCATGTATACTCACAGGCTGCTCATTCCTGCCTGTTACTCAGCAGGGAAACAAACGCATTGCTCGCCCATGACAAGGATTCATTAATTYGTTTGGAAGTATTGAGATTAAATTACTGGAATTGCTGTCATTCACAGGTTACATGTTTTATTTGCATGTGTTTGTCTGCTTTGGTATTCGTCAGTATAAAATACTTTAAGAAATGGTCAGGCTATCAAAACTAGCAATAATTTTGTGTGATATTAGCAGACAAAAAAGCAAACTAATGGTGTTGAGGGGCTGGGAGCGCATGTGTAAGTGTGTAGAGGTGCTTGTTAACACGCATTTCTGTCCCACATACCTGTTAGTTCAGCGCAGTCGTCTTTGCCCCTTTCTGTTTATTGATGACTATTTTTTTTGCAGACCGTGGAGGAGATTGAGGGTGTGCTGGGACGAGACCTTTATCCAAACCTGTCTGAGGAGAGATCTCGGTGGGAGAAGGAGCTGGCTGGCCTGCGGGAAGAGAATGAGAGCCTCACAGCCATGCTGTGCAGCAAGGAAGAGGAGCTCAACAGGACTAAGGCCACCATGAATGCTGTCCGTGAGGAGAGGGACAGACTGCGTAGAAGGGTAAGCCTGCACAGGTGATGCCTTCTTTTTCTTCCAATCTGTGTGATTTCGTCACCAGAGCAAGCTTCTCTTTAATATAGCTTACTGTGTTGGCTTTAGGGCTTTTTGTTCTTAAAGCCAGGCCGTATAAATGACAAAATTAGGACAAAACTGAACATAATTGAAAAAGAGCGTGTGATAAACAGCCAGCATGCACAACAACCTGATTTCAGAAATCATGTATTAACAAAAAGCCTGATATTCATCTTCAAGGAAGCATGTGTAACTTGGCTATAGAGAAAGCAGATGTTCATCTAGTGAATTTTCCTGTGAAGCTTTTTTTTTCCAGTAAACAACAAATATTTCTTTGTGTTTGATGGGAATTCAATTTGTGATTAGGAGAAAGAAAAAGAGCAGGACTCCTGTCAGTGGGTAATAACTCTCATACTGAACAATGAGTAGTTCCGGCCATGTCCTGCTTCCCTGTGTACATTTTATGATACTTCAAGGTCAGATAAAGGCCTTATGCTTTGTGTGGAGTCCAAAGTTTAAAAAAAAAAAAGAGGGGAGGAATTTGTTCCCCCCCCCACCTCCCAAAAATTTGAAAGATCCAGGGGAATGTGAACTCAGGCTCCAATACTTATAAATTTTGTTATCTTTGTGTCTGTTAAACCTGCAGAGTTTTGGCTACATACAGAGTATTTTTGGTTTTAAAACAGGCAGTTTCAAGTTTATGTCCAGTTTGAATGACAGTTCAGACCACTGTACCATGTTAAATTATTGCAAATATTACTCTTTACCTACTGGCAGCAGATCAGCTCTTTTTGCTGCTCTGAACCAACACTGTTCTGCAGTGACTGTGTCATTTTAGCGTGAACCTGCTTTGTGTGATATTTCCAAACTTCAGATATGAAGCCACAAACTACCTTTCCAAAACTCTCTCCTAACACTAAAAAGGCGTGTGTGATGAGGCAGGGATAGTAATTTCTGATCGTATAAAGCAATACCACTTCAACTTTTCCTTTGTAAATTTTTGTCTTATGTACCATAGGTTGTTTTCAGTCCTGAAATTTTTGGATTGATTTTATAGCAACTTTTGTTTTTTTTTTTTTTAGCAGAGGCACTACTACCCCTTGAGCTAGAGAAGCAGCATTTGTGGACTGGCTGGATTGTTGCCAGATTGAGAGGGGCATGAGAGGCAAGCAGGCAAAGAATAGAAGTGTGTGCTTGAGGAATTTGCTTACATGAATGCTGATACTGACATTACAGGTGATACAGATCAATATTGAGATGTCAAGAAAAAGATAGGTGGCCTTGAGCAGAGAAATGTTTTGAGAAGTATGGAGTGCAGATTAGAGTGCTTCAAAGATTGTTAACAAGCATTCACGCTGACAGCCAGGACCTCCTCAGTTCAAAAACAGAAAAGGGAAGAATTGGTGTTGTACCCTCAGGGATCAGCAAGGTTAAGCCATAGTGGCAAATTCAGTCTATGAGGTACCAGAAAAATTATTTCCAGTAGAAATTGGAAAAACTGTGTTAAGAGTGGTGATTGGAATACAGTATGTTGTTCTTATCTCTTACGTGTGTAAATGTGCAGTTGAATTGGCAAAAAATGGTGTAGACAATGGTCAGAGACATTGTCCATGGAGAAGGGACTTGTCCTGTTCGACATGGCAAAACAAAATCTTAATTTGTTTTCTCTTTGCAAGCGCTAGGGAAAGAAAGTGGGAGTAATGGTTCTCTAAACTGATCGACAAAACAGATTAATAGGAACCACTWGTGGCTATATGAGACCAGAAATCAGCTTGTGAGGAGACAAGATTGTGGGTCTGATGAGACAGTAAGTAGTAGGCWACTGACCAGCTACTTTCTAAATGCACCTTTAAAATATTAAAGTTATGTTTGTATAATGAAATATATGACTACGCAGGGATTCCTGTTAAAACCAGGATCATTACATTAGTATTGTATCTGACGGAAAGCAGAAAAAGCCAAGTTAACACCGCTGCATTAATTCTACAGCCAGCCTTAGCATCTTTCCACACCTCTGCTATGGTTTGTCTGGCTGCCAGCAGTTCAGGTTCTCTATTATGGAAGCATCTCTGGTGGAAACAGATTCAAGGTAATCAACTTGTTTCAGCTGTTTGCAACTACAGAGGACTTTACTGAAATCTGGTAATTAATATCATCCTTATCATGCAGAACAACTGATTTATTGCCCCCACCAAAGAAGTTTGTTCATGACATATGACCTRTCTGCACACACTGGAGACCGTATTTGCATTTTCAATACAGATTTGTGTCCATAGTGGCAACAAAATAAATGTTTTCTTTGACCTATTAAATATTTTCTGTATGCCACCTGAATTCAAGAGTCACTTCAAATTATTTCCCTGGAGAGTGGGAAAGGAGATACAACCAAAATTTAGTTACTGTCCTTCTCAAATTAAATTGGGTGAAGTGAACAAGCTTGAAGTTGACCAGATCAATAGGTCTGTTGCTTCAGACTAATGCCTGTAATTAAGCAGAGTGCTTTCAATATATTTTTCTCAGGCTTGTTGGAGATTTAATTTAATTAGGTATTTACTGTGCTCAGTTAACAGTTTGAGCTGCTCTCTGGAACAGTAGCTGAGAAACAACATACGTTCAGAGTTTGTTTCTCACTGGTCATTAGTAAGTGAGATAGTTGTTTACTTCTRTAGGTTGTCTGCAGTGTAACAGCTAATTTCATAATGTAGAGGTTTATTTTACCTCTGTATTATATTGCCACGTTAAAAATAAAATCTGTTTAGGTCCAGGCTGGTCAGTTCCCTAGAAACTGCTTACATAAAACTGACCATAATCCTGAATCCAGTAATACAGATAAGATGATGGGAAACTTCTGTGGGATTAATATTATTATTGCATGAGAATAAGGTTGTAATCAGGTCACCACTATTTATAGCTGCTGTATAGTGTAACAGGCTTAAGTAGTAGAAGGAAAAGTAATATTTGTGTTCTTACACAAAAGCTCTTGCATCTGCCAGGGATTCAGATGAGCAGCGCTGAAACAGCATATAAGCTCCATCACGACTGCAAAGTAGAAACTGGGTTTTTTTAATTACTGCCCATGAAATGCCAGATGAGTGGTACTTCAGCACAGTCCTAAGCAACTGGCTGGCATAAGAAGCTGTGGGCGTGGGCAGCATTCAGGCTTCCTTGAGGCAGTTCTGAAGAACTGAGTCTGAAGAGAATATCCATTTCCAGCTCTGGAAGTTTGTTATGTCTTCTCTGCATGAGCCATATGTCAGTGTGTTCAGTTAATCTCATAATTCTGGTTGTGAGGCTTGTTCTGTACCTGCTCCAAATGCAGCTGAAATCACCAAACTCAACCAGAACAAAAACACTTCATTAGCTGTCTTGAACTAAGACCTTAATGAAAACATAATCAGTGGAGTAGTAAAAAAATCAACATTTTATGTGTGAGCCCATCAGCTGCTCACATTTCCCACTCCAGAAAACTTCCATTTTAGCAGAGGGCTCTCCCAAAATATGGGGTTGTTGTGGGCAGTTGAAGTGTATCCATACCGCAGCAGGACTGAGATCCTTGGACTCATGCTGTTCTCAGATGACAAAAAGCTGGCAGGAGCTCCTGGACTCTCTTTGTTTTGCTGTTGGGATCAGAAGGTATTGTTCCAGATTGCTGAAGAACACTGATAGGCTTTGGGCTGTTAAGAGATTATTATCTACTTGCAGTTTGAAGTGATCCTGGTGCTGTTCTGTCTCCTTTGTCTCTTGGTGAGCACCAGAAATTGAGGTAGCAGCACAAAGTTGTTTCCATTCTCTGCCTCCTTGAGCTGTGTGATATTTGCCTATGCAGCAGCATCTCCACTTGGGTGTCAACAAAGTAGAGCTGTATCCCAGCTTGCATGCAGATAGCCAGTGATTAATTGACCTTATAGATACCAGATACAGTTACTGTGCTCAATCAATCACAATACACAATCCGTAGGAACTCAGACCTTGTTTGCTCTGGTGCTCATGGTTTGGGAGAAGCTAAAAATTACCTGGCTGAAAATAACCAGCMCTAGGCCTGAATGAAAGGTAAGATGTTCTTCTGGCCGGGAAGAGGTCTCACAACTCAGAGCARCTCAGATTGTTACACTGGTGTTTGATTTGGCATCTTCTCCTCCCCAGATCTGCAGTGTGCAGGGAGAGGTTCACTCCATGTGGTTTGTTGTACTTCATCTTCCTCCTCTGTGTAACAGGGGAAAGGAAATGAAGCAGCATTAAAGTGCTGGGGAAAAAAAGTGCTATTACTTGAAGGGTTCAAAGATACCCTGTGATGAAACAGGTCACAAGTAGGGTAGAACAAGAAGAATCACAGGCATGTCCCTCATTTGAAACTGGTTTAGAAACAAAAGCCACAGGTGTCCTTTGAATGTGGAAATCAGTGACAAAAGCAGGCAGTTTGTAGCAATGTTTTTTTATTTAGGGTATATTAATGAGTCATATAGTTGTCACTATGCATGTGTAAAATAAAAAGATAAAAAACATGCTACTTAGAGTCACGGTTACAAATAATGAAAATATTCCATTGAAGTATTTTTCTATAGCCCATGATGCATTTGGACAAATGTGTCTGTGATGCCTGTTAATAACTTATCAAGCCTTTCATAAATTGAAGATTGCTGTAATGTGTCAGCCCTTTTCTCTTCTGTCCTTCCTTTCTTTTTATGAAGTTCTCAAGGTGATAAATTTCCCTTAATTTTTCATTATTTCCTACTTCCATTCTCAGCATTGAAAGGGAAAAAAAATAGAAATGCAGCTAAACAACTGATTCAATTACAAAACATCAAATATTAATTAGTGACATTTCCAGTTCCTTGCATTTATGGTAATAACTTGAAAACATCTGTTTGCACCTGACTTTTTTTTTTTATCTATGCTGTCCATTGCTCTGAAACCTAATGGCACTGTTTCCTTGTGTCTCACTTCATGCACTTGCTCCTGCTCTTTCCAGGGTGCTAGGACTTCTTTACTTCTGTAATTTTTTTTTTACTTCCTCCCATCATTTGGAAGATCTTTCCTTTTTTTCTGGATTTCAGAGACATTTCCCTGGATTTCTCCTTTTTCCCTCCTATCTCAACTCCTWTTTTTTTGTGATCGTTAATTAGATCTGCTTGCCAGACAGTTTTCACCTCATTTTAGTGCTTCAGGAGTTTGTGGCAATTTAAATCCTTCTGTATGTTTCTGTCTTGAAACATTTGATGCAATGACTCAAATTTTTCTCTAGATCTTTTCTAGTTTTTCCTCCTCCCACACTCACAAATCCACACTTTTCCTTTTTCCAATGTTAACTTTTTTGGGTTTGTTTCTATACTTGTCTTTACCTATCAGATTTTGCCAATTTTGTCATCCATTTTCAGTAAGATACTCCCTTCCTCTCTGTCCAATTTCTATGTGTTTATTGTGCCTCCTGTGCAGTACCACAGTTTAACTTCATTCTATGAGTTAACATAACCTTCAGAATAATTTATATTACATTGGCAGTGATGCTAAAGATTGTCGATATATAGAGTCAGAAAATATTTAATCATGCTTGTAAAACCAGTCTTTTCATAGCTCATGTATTCATCAAATCAGAGAAGAAACTGGCTCTTCTGAACTCTGATTTGGGTTTGGGATATTTTTTCTCTTCTTTGGTCTTTCTTTATTTTTTGTGTAGAATAGCTACCAGTGTGGAAAAGTACTTTCTAAAGAGATGCTACATACTGCTCTATTTGCAGTGGCGATTTTGGTGGCCAGAAATAGTTATCTGAGGTGTCTCTGGGCAGTGTGGTGGGTGGGTAACCCCATCATGAGATTTTGGCTTTTAGTAAGTGTGTGAATTGTGAGATGGATGATCTTACAGATCAGAACAAACCTGTGCTGTTATCCTGCTCAGAATTAGCATCCAGTATTGAGTGTTGCTAAAATTGGTGTGGTTTTTTATAGCAGTCACTTCAGCATCTAATTTCGCAAATGAAGGCCTGAACTAGTAAATACATCAAGAAGCACAGATAAGCAGGCAGCTTCTTTAGGTTGTTGTGTCTTCTGTGATACAATATTAAGGCAGTGAGTTGCACAGATCATTAACTGTGCTGTGCTCTGAGTTTTCTTCTAGAAACGTTTTCCTGAGCAAAGCTTTGCCTCACTACATTCTTAGCTGTGTTCATTTTTCATTCTGAGTCTAGTGTTGTTTCACAGATCTGTATGAATAATTAGCTTTGTAATCATGACAAATAGTCACTGCTTAGTAAGAACACAGAATAAAGGAAACRTATCTGCATTAAAGTTTTGTGTGATACACTGTTTGCATAAGGTAGTTTTAAACTTCAAAGTCTACAAATGCTTGGCATTTAAGCAGCTTTACCACTCTTTCTGGGTTTTACTTAAATTTAGAATGTTRCTTGCTTTTGGAGTGGAATCTCCCAGGACTGGCTTCTGAGCATAGGTGAATATTTTAGCAATGTTTAAGCTGTACATTTAGGCTGGGATTTTATTTTATAAAGAATGCATTCAAATGGTCTTCCTGTTTGTTTGCTTTTAAACAGTGTGGTAACTTAAGCATTTGGAGAATTATATTTGGAACAGYCTGGGTTAAAAGAAATAGTAGTAAATGGCAATTTTGACTTGATGAAGTTCTTGGGTTGCTTTTTTTWATTTCTCTTTTTCTGTGTTAATGCTACGCTACAAATCCTATCTGCACTGACATTCCACATCTGCAAGCAAAAATATGCATGCATGGTTTATTTCAGCCTTGTGCATATCAACAGGCTGAAATTACTGATTTGCACCAGGAGAGCACTTCTGTACTTAAGGTTTGCATTAGTGCAGCTATGCCCATGTTGAAGCTAAATATGTCTGTATGAACAAAAGAGGCCTCAGCTGCAAATATGTAGAAGATACTKCTATGAATGTGCACTTCATGCACTCTGTTCAGTTAACTTCATGATATAATTGCAGTTAAAATGTATAATTCTGGCTCGAGCACCCATATCCATTTTTCTGCAAGTTACTTTGATTTGATTTCAGGTTTTGTGTTGTTCGGATTCACTTTGTTCAAGGTGTAGCACACCTCCACAACTGAACAGGGAACTTAAGAGTGCAGTTAGACTCTATGTGCTTTTATTGTTGCCAGCTATGGCTTTTTAAAAATAATATGTTACGTTAAACAGGGATTTTTTTTTCTTTTATTTGTAATTTGCAAATACCTAAAACTTCTTTTGACAGTAAGTGCTCAGGAAGCCTGACCTCCAGTTTGCAACTGAATAGGAGAGGTAGGGTTGYTCTTCAGGAAATAGAAGCAGGCTATAGAGGATTGTAGAAAGCATAAGATAGTGCTTTGGTGTTTATAGAAMATTCCAACTTGAACTGTTTTCACTGTGCAGTAGGTTGAAGCATCTGTTGTGCAGAGAGCACAATTGCTGCTGCTTCAAGCAGAGATTGATAAAACACTGTCCAGATGCACTTACAGCTAAAAGAGCCTAAGGTTTAATGCAGCTTTAATTTTATAGTTCTTTGACTAAGGAATTTCAGCTTGCTTTGTCAGTTCTTTATATAAATACATTTAGTATAAAATCCCACCTTGCTTTAGACAGTGGGAATCGCAGTTGCATTTCATGCTACGTGCAGGGGGATATCAAATGGGCTGAACTTTACTTCGCTAGGTTTATGATAAAATTTCACCAGTTGTGTTCTGTAGAGGGGCTATTCCAACAAAATCAGCGTAGAAAGCAGTGTATTTAAGGAAGACTCAGGGGGGTTTTCAGGGGAGTTTTCTCTTCAGATGGTTTCCTTCACCTTCTTCCATCCCRCACTCTGAGATCTGTGGGTAAAATGAGCTCTGTCACTTTACCTTGTGGCATAACTCTCKTGTTAAGCAGACCATTTATTCCTTGTCTGTTAAGAATTATTCCAAGGTAAATACTATAATCTTTAGCTCAGCTATAGTTTGGTTCCTGCAGACCTTCCTTTTTTTTAACCTTTAAACTGAAACTCTTTTGACATCAGTTCTACAATTATCTGATGTGTTATAAGAACCATGCAGTCAGTGTTTGCAGTGTATATTTACAGAGAGCTTCTGCAGATTGTTGTTTGAGCACTTTGCTGTTTTTTTTTGGTCTGTACTTTATTCACAAAACGTTAGCTTTACTTGACCATAGTTTTGAAGTATGATTAATGTTTGAATTTCTTTAACCTTTAAATATGACCAAGTCATTGTGTGATTTATTTATGTCAAGTGTTTTTTCAGCACTGGAGTTTCCCATTACCAGGAGGATTGTCATTTGATTTGTTTAGCCATCATTCTTTTTGGCTGGAGCATTAGCTTTACCCCAGAGAGAATAATTTCTATACCTATAGTACAGCTGAAGAGTAATTACTCTACAGTGTTGTGTTTGCATATTTCCATATTGCAAATGGTGTAAAAAACTGACAGGAGTGGGATTTTAAAATAACATATTCTCATCTTCTCCCCACGTGAAAACTTTGTGGCCACCACAGTACAAAAATGTAACTTCTGTGCTGAAGCCAGGAGCAATTAGACTTGGCTAGACAATGAGAAAATCTCCAGACTCTTTAAACCATAAAAATKGAAAAATCAGATGGTTATGTTTTATTGCAGGTCCGGGAGCTGCAGACTCGTTTGCAAAGCGTGCAGGCCACAGGCCCTTCCAGCCCGAGCCGTCTCACTCCTGCCAACCGCCCCGTCAACCCCAGCACGGGAGAGCTGAGCACCAGCAGCAGCAGCAACGACATTCCCATTGCCAAGGTGGGGTTTCTGTATTGGTAACCCTACTCATGACCTGGGGAAAGGGGTTTGTGTGTTGGTAACACTGCTTGTGACCTGGGGAAAGCAGGCGTTGTTTTGCAAGCATGGGATTAACTGGTAGATGTCCAGGGGAGTCCTGAGCAGGTCCACGAACTTGGACTGTGGAAATGAATTAAACATTATTGATTGTAGTTCTCTCAGTTATAACACGTCTCAATTCTCTAGTAGTTCACTTCAGTTTTGCAAGTGTAACTAGAGACTAGAGGGATTTTGTGTGATCTTCGTGGGGTATAGGCTGTTGTGTAGCTAACCTGTGCAGCATTATCACTTACAGATTGCTGAAAGAGTGAAGTTGTCAAAGACAAGATCAGAGTCTTCATCATCTGATAGACCTGTCTTAGGATCAGAAATCAGCAGCATAGGGGTAAGGACTGTGTGCACGCATGRTTCATGTTCCAATAGAAGCATTGTTTTCCTAATAAAATTAATATACGAACTGTCTGAAAATACTGCAAAAGCTAGTTTGAGCAAAGTATTTAAACAAAGAACTATTTCACCCAGTATTAAGATTTCATTTTCTTGTAACTGGTAACTAGTGACTTCAAGAGGAAAACTTTGGAGTCAGTTTCTCCAAAATATTCTTCAAAAACACTCTCCATTTCCATTTCACAGCTTTCAGTCAACAGCAAACTGGCTTCTGCTTTTGAAATGCCAATGTAAATCAATAACACTGTTSTTACTGTGTGTTAATATTTGTTTTACTGAAGAACTTGGCTCTAACTTTTTGCTAAGCTCTCAAGAACACAACTTGCATAGTAGGCTTTTTGAATGTGTAATAAAATAGTGGACTTCACCCTTGGTCAGTAGAATTTTAGAACAAAATGGCTTCTAAAAGTGGAATCTTGTAAATTCAATGTAAAATTCATAACGGAAACTGAATAATGAATGCCTTGAAGTGAGTGCATGCAAGCAAATGCAGTTTTCAATGCAGAAAGTATCTGGGAGAAATCCAGTGGGTACCTATTCACAATGATCTATTAACTGCCCTGTGCAGGTGTCTAGTACTGTGGCTGAACATTTGGCACATTCCCTCCAAGACTGCTCAAACATCCAGGAAATCTTCCAGACACTCTATTCACATGGATCTGCTATCTCTGAGAGTAAAATCCGAGAGTTTGAAGTGGAGACGGAGAGACTAAATAGGTGAGCTAGAAAGTTAGATGTGCRCACATGTATTGTCTTCTGTTAGCTTTGTTAAAGTTGACTGCTTTTTTTACCCTTTTGGAACATTTCTCAGCTGTGGCAGCTGCAGATAAAAATGGAATTTAGTTGATGAAGAGGAGATTGAATTCWGTTCTGAGGATTCCTTCCATGACTATGAGTTTGGGCTTTATTAGATCAGCATGGCACCTTCTCTTGTTTGCACTCCAGTGTTCCTTTCTGTGGCCAACCAAGTAGTCATGGCATCTTTTCTCATAAGACACATCATTTCTTGAAAAAAGGACTCCCATAACTTAATCTGCATCATTCTGGAATTGGCTTGCTTTGTTTTGTCCTGAAGAAATGGGGTAATAGCRTTTAAATGTCCCAGTAAGTACTGAATGGGTGGTGGTGTGGCATATACACCAGAAAATAGGTTTCTGTCTGCAGAAGAGAGATTGCAGCTCTGTTTGCAGTTGAAGTACTGCTGGTGTTACCCTTCAGCAAGCTCTGTCAAAAACAATGTTTCATGTCTTTTTTGGCACWTAAAATCAAAACTGTGTATCAGGAGCATGAGAATCGTGTCTCAGCATATCTCTATCGCAGTTGTTTCTTCCCCACAGCTAGCTCAAGTTTAGTCTAATCAGTACAGTATCTCCTTTTATTTATAACTCAGGTTTTTGTAGTGCTGCAAAATGTGAGCCTTGTTTTTTTTTTTTTTTTCTTTTTTTCTGTGCACTGCACAATTATGTTTGACAGCATGTATCATTATATAACATGACAAGATACAGAAAGTGATGAGTTTTAGCAGCTGGAAAAGTCACAGCTTTATTCTGGTAACTGAATAAATGGTATACTAGCTCTTCTCATTCTTCATCAAGAAGTCAGTGATTTCGGAGTCTGGATGGCACTGATTTGTTCAGTAAGTGCCTGTCCAAGGTTTCAAATTGTCTGTCTGGTTTTAGCATGTATCCAGTTTTTATGGTTAGGCATGGTACATTGATGTGTGGTTCAGTTGACAGTAGAGAGAACAAACAGTAACACTAATATTTTGAGTCCTCATTTTCATATTCAGGGTGTCTTGGTTTGAAAGACAGATGTTTGCCAACGAAGGCAGGGACTCCCCTTAAAGTGGTGGATATGACCCCCCTTCCCTCTGAATTATTATAGCTTTGATAAGAAATTACRGGCTTTCAGGCAAGAACATGGGTAAAAGGGARTAACAGTTTTTACTAATATGTATAACAAGGTGAAACAAGTAACAATAACAATAGCAACAACCAACCCAGTCCCAAACCCAGTGACAGCCTTACAGAGACACAGCCTCCCCTTTGGTGCAGTTACAGTCCCAGTCRGCAGGGGCGCTGTTGGCTCCCGGCCAGGCAGGGCGGGTGCGATGATTCCCCGGCGGCTGCAGGGGGCGCTGTGGCGCGGGTCCCGGCTGGCTCAGATCTCCCGCATCGCCAATGATGGACACAAAAATGGCAGAGATGGATGGAGAAAAGTTCCTCTGCAAACTCACAGCGGAAACGCTGATCTCGGTGTTCCTCTGGACAGCAAGAAACCCAGGACGGCAAAGAGACGAGCAGAATCCCGTGGCTGCGAGATGGGATGGAGCAGAGCTCACCCCTGAAGCTGGAATCTCAGGGGTCCCYGGCAAGGCACAGGGGAGAAGATCACAGTGCAGCAAACAGGAACCCAATGAGCAGAGATGCTGGGCTCTGCAGAAAAAGACAGGCCAGCTCTCCCCGGAGCAGATAGCAGGTCGACCTCCTTTTCTGAACCAATCAGGGCAGGAAGTGAAGTTACCCCCACCACACCCACACACACCCCCTCTYAGTGCTTAGCAAGATCTTTTAGGTGGGGCATAGATCTTATTGGCTTTACTAATCGCCCAGSCATCAAAAGGATGACCTGGCAATCAGTGTATTCCAGCAACAAAATGGGGAAATAAAAATTCCCCCAGAAAGGAAACAAAAGGAGAAATCTTAACCCATAACACAGGGTTAACCTCGGTGAGGAGGGTATTACAGTTAAGCTTCTGTTTGACTGTTGTCAGAATGTTTGGAGATTACTTGCCCTGCTGAAACCTCATTTGTAGTTTGGAACTTCCCTCCCTAATCACAACCCAAACGTGACTTCACATGGAGCACTTACTCTGGATATTCTGAAGAAAGGAGGCATTTATGTGATTGCATGATCACTGCACACACCCCCTGTCACACTAAAGAATATGCCATTTAAAACAAGTTGCAAATGTGGCAGCAAAAAGTGAGGAATGAAGGCAGAAAAACTGAGAAAAAGGTTAGGATGAAACTGTCCAACCCAGTCTCATGTATGCAAAACAAGGGTACAGCTTTCTGCCTGCTGCTGCTGCACAGGGTTATGACTACATTTTATGGGAAAAAAAGGAGGAGAAGTGATGACCCAAGAGAAATTTCTGCCCTGTTGACTTTTCGTAAGGGGTACAGAACTGATGGATTTTGCCCTCTTCATTAAAAAAACACTTGCATGGACCGAAAGTTTTTTGTTGTTTCAAAGTGTGATTGTCCTAGAATTTTCAGGACATTGACTTCAAAGGTCGAAGGTTGCAAATGACTTCTCTTTCTGTAGCCGTATAGAACACCTGAAATCCCAGAATGACTTGTTGACAATAACACTGGAGGAATGCAAGAGCAACGCAGAGAGGATGAGCATGCTTGTGGGGAAGTACGAGTCCAATGCCACAGCCCTCAGGCTGGCTCTGCAGTACAGGTAGGCACCTACACAGGGGACTCAGCCAGAAAGAGGGAGCTGGGGGAGACTGGATAGAAACGCTCAAGACTGAAGTTCTGGGTATGGCCATTGTAATATTGTTTATTTCTTGTGTCTTCTCTTTAAATTGTTAAATTGTTTGACAAACTACCCAGCTGAAGTTATTGACATGGTGTATTTCAGCTTTAGTTGACCAGCATCTGACAGGAATATAGTTTTATCTCTTCATTCTTAAATACTGAATTAACATTTGAATTAGGCTCAGACTGTCTTGCTGAATCCAATTTTAAAATACACTTTCTCTGTACCTTTCCCAAGACCAGTGGACCAGAGGGTGCTATGCTTCACATAACTCAAAGTCAAGATGACTGTATTGCATCAGTTGGAATTTTGGATTAATGTCTTGGTATTTGGTAATAAGTATCTAAATTTGCTTCAAACCGTTTGTGCAAATATGGTGTCACTTAACACCTTCAACTGCAACTAATTTGACACAGGCAGGTGACAAACTGTGTGCCTTTTAAAGAATGTATTCTTTTACTATCAGCCTTCAACAAATTGCAAGGAAGTGTAAATGGTTAATATTATATTTATAGGTATTTTCAAAAACATTAAAATGCAGCAGGGAGTGTGGGACTCAAATATAATTGGAAGCTATTGCCAAGGAGAAGCGTCTTACAGCCAGGACAGAGCAAGAAGTATTTTTCTTTCATCTTCTTTTCTTCTTGCAACACTTTGTATAGTACAATTGTATTATAGAGTATAGAGTACTGTATTTTGTATTGTGAGAATGCCCGGGAAAAGTTACTCAAAGGGATCATTTTGACCATAGCTTGTATTGTCAGCTGTTTAAAACATGCTTCTGGAGCTTGGTTTATTCGAGGTCATTCTCTTCTAATTTGGTTACAGTAGTAGAGGCCAACCTGACACCTTGATAAGAAAGGGGAGATTGTTGAATGCTTGTGATAGAAGTTATGTGTATTGTGTTATTTAATATCCATGCTGCTAGAGAAGTAGTAGAGAACCATTCAGTTAATCAGCTACCTCTTTTTATGTTGTTGCTATTGCAGGTATTGTACCCCTTTAAATTGCAATTAATATTTTGTGTGGTTTTTGTTTTCCCTTTCAGTGAACAGTGCATAGAAGCATATGAGCTGCTGTTGGCATTGGCAGAAAGTGAGCAGAGTCTCATTCTTGGGCAATTCAGAGCTGCAGGTGTTGGTTCTGTTGGTAAGATGTCAATGAATCACTTAATTAAATGTTTTTTCAGCCTGTCAATTAGCATTAGAATTGGTTGTAATGATGAATCATGTCATGACTCATTACTTAAGAATGCTCTCCAGTCTTTCCTTATTTTTAACTATTTAAATTATTTTACACACCCCAGAAATAGGAAGAAAATACAAGAGAACAATTTAAATTAATCTGTGTATGTTTTCTTGAGAAGATGGCTATTGTGGCAGGCGTGTAGGCATGCAACTGTACAGAGGGGAATAATTGAACAATACTTGTGAGTACAGGTGGCTTAGCTGTAATAGTTGCAGTTAATACAGCTGTAATAGTTGCAGTCCAGATTCAGTAAGACTGACTCCCCAAAAACTGAGTATAATTTATGAAGAACTGGGATTAAAACAATACAAAGGTAGCACTGAGTAACTACAAATAAAAAGCTTTAAAAGGCTGTAATTTTTCATCCCCTGTTTTACCTTTGCTCTGAGATTTTTAAATACTTTATCTTCTGTTTAGCCTCTATGTTCTGGATTTTTCTTATTTTGTGATTAGTTAATCCTGTAGCTAGGTGGTGGTTTTTAATATGCTGCCTGCTAAGTAATGGAACAAGCCACTATCATAGATCAGTGCAATTCAGAAATGTGGAGCTTGACATTGCTGCTGGCTCTATTCTTCTGGTGAAAAAAGGTTTTTGCACAATCAAATTCCAGTGTTAATAGTCCTATCCTTTTACTGATAGGAGAACACAGCCACAATAATCTTCAAGCAGAAAGAAGGGAAACCCTTCAGAGGGATAATAACTCTTCATGCTGTGCTGAGGCATAGCAATTGCCTGGTGTATTAGGAGCACTGGCTTCTCAGTAGAGGGGATGTCTGGGATTTTCTTCCATCTTTCTCCCAAATGCTCTTCATTCCTTTCCACARTGTGCTAGGCAGCTTTTGCCAGCTGGCAGTGAGTAGCAAAAGTGAATTTAGGCTTTTATTTTCTACTCCCGTAGGTGGGAGAAAGAAATCTTAGATGGGAGAAATACTTTGGGTTTGAGTAGGGTTTCATCTGACATGCATTTTATGGAAAAGACTGTAGTTAAATTTTTTACGTAGGTGTCTGTCTACAGCTCTTTAATTATTGTATTATCAGTTACATCCTTGAGATAGAAATAGTGCAGAATTTCCCATTACACAGCACGGCATGGAGGAAGTTATGTATGGTTTATGTACTTCACCATGAAATTTGATTAACACACCTAGATAAAGTAAGAGATTTTTGGTTTGAAGATCAGTCAAGCTTTGTATCAACATCTGTGAGTGGAAAATTCATRGGAGTTGCGTCACTTAAAGCTGAACATATCCAGCTTCTCTTAACAGAACATCCACCCTATTTCTTCCTCATTAATATTACTTCTAGYGAATGCACTTCACTCAGCAAGTGTGAAGTATAGATAATTGACTTGAATGAGGATTAAATGAAAACCCAACACAGAGCAAGCTGTTGGTTTTGCTAAAGTGTTAATATCTTGTAGCTTTATCTACAAATACATTTGTAGATATTTTCTGTAGTTAATAACATGTCTGAATTTAGTGACTTGGCTGCAGCTGGAAGACTGTATAGTAGTGGCAGTGGTGGTTTCAGTCCTGCTTGTCCTGAAACCTACCAGCAACCCAGGTGCTGTATAAATACTAAAAATTATAGCAGTTTAATAAATACCAGTGCTAGTTTTCTTTTGACTTAGCATGCATGACTGTAAACTGTGAAAGGCTGCTTCTGAGCAGCAGGGCAATTCTTAGGTCTGGTTCTGGCAAACCATCAGGCTTGAGATCAAGGTGCCTGTGAGAAGAAGCTCTGGAAATTACAACACTGTAAAACCACACTGCACTGATTGGAGTAAGAGCTGTATTCAGTCTGAGGCTTTTCCAGTATGTTCATAATTTGAGTATCCAAACCTAATGTTAATGCAGAATGCACACCATTACAAACAGACAAGCTAAAATCATACATCACTTAAGGCATGGTGCCTGGAGCCGCAAATACCTAGAGCCTGTGACTTGGAGAGGAGTTCTGGCAGTATCCCAGTTACCACTGATGCTCACACAGAAATGAAGTTGCTCTTACAGCACAGATGGGTAATTTATTGTCATTGTCTTGGTATAAACTGAAAGCAAGTAGAAGGATCTCTACTCTTGCCTTAATTTCTTTCTGAAACATTGTTTACTTGAAAACTAGGGGACCAGACGAGTGATGAAAATGTCACACAGATGCTTAAGAGGGCTCATGACTGCAGGAAGACAGCTGAGAATGCAGCAAAAGCCTTGCTGATGAAACTGGACGGGAGCTGTGGGGGAGCCTATGCAGTCACAGGCTGTAGCGTGCAGCCCTGGGAAAGCCTTTCCTCCAACAGCCACACCAGGTAACTGCAATTCTTTTACTCCCCTAATCTCCTAATCTTTGATTTCAGACCAAAAGTTATATTCTATTGTATTTGCTGAGCTACCTCCCCTCACCTCAGTCTTCTGACTTCTGTTCTTTGATTTATAAGTTGCCATGCCTCAGTGGTCTAATTATCTTTGGACTTTCATCAACTCCAGCCAAGAAGAGTTTTGTATGAATTCGTTGCAAATCAGTGACTCAGAACTTTCTCATAAAAGACAAAGCTACTACACTTGTTTTAGCTACTACCGTGATTTTCTTGCTCAAACCATGTACTTGTTACTCACATCTATTGTATGCAGGCAGCATGGATGTGCAGAGAACCAGAGATCTGAAATAGCCTTTCTCTGGCATTTTGGATTTCTCAAGAATTGCTTCCTAAATGCTGCAGATCTAGCTATTCTGTTTCAAACCATTTCTTCTCTCTTCTCCTTACCCTTTACCCGTCTCCTTCCCATCCTGCTCTTTTCACTCATGGAGTGGAATAGAGTGCATTCTTTCAGGCAGGGTTGGATTTTCCAGTTTTTTTTAAGAATTATAAAAATTGAAACTTGGATGAGTTATTATTGCAGAAGTGTTCCAGTTCAAATATATCTGCCAACAGCTTCATTTTGAGTTTTTGCCTGCCTGTGGTGTAATTGTACTCTGCACTGAATATGTGTGCTTGTGTATGGATACAAATTTGGCAAGTGTCCTGGATAAATATAGATGAACATTTTTCTCTTTAAGAGTTATTTTGGTTTCTCAGATTTGCTCTAAAACTTCATTTTAATTCCATTTTCGAGCCAGTTCTTTATTCAAATGCTGTCATTTTTTTGACACTTCAGAAGTTTATTCTAGTACTGTATCATTTCCTTTTCTTGCTGATGACTCCTCCAAAGGATCTTATTTCCTGCCATATGACTGGCATGGAATAGCTAAAAAGTGATCAAAAAGGTAATCTGAGGCAACAGGGTCCTAATGTGCAGTGAATTTTAATGTTTTATTCTGAGAAGTTTTCTGGTGCAGTCTCTGTCCAATAAAGCTGTGTCTTTATATAGACATAAAGCACCTGTGCAAGTACCACAGTGATCGCATGATCACACCTTGTACCAAAACCTCTTGCTGGCCTTGGAAAGAAGTTACACTAAGCTGTTTCAAGCACTTGGCTTGCCTTGTCTCGGGCCACATCTACATCTGTATGTGAACATGTTGTCTGTGTCTACATGTAGTAACACTTCTACCTAAGCCAGGCTTGTTTTCCATTCTGTTGTTTGAAAGGGTAATTTTCTGTTGTTTATAACTACCTCAGTGTTTTTCTCCCATGTGAGATCTGTGGCATGCAGTCAAGGCATAGTAATTTTTTTTTTTTCTTGAAAACGATTCAGGTAGTCTCCAGTATTGACAGGGCGGGGAGAGAGTTTGTTCCTGTTTTAGTGTTTTGTTTTCCTAGCCTTTCACTGAAGGTGTTTGGTAGGAATATAGTCTCTACAGCTGYCTTTAACAGAATTTTTGGAAGGATAAGAAAGGAAGGGTAATAGTCTCTGTTTGTGTCAGTGTTCATTGTTTACCATGAACATTTGGTGGTCAGCTGGACCTGTGTGTATTTGTCCATGTAAGGTGTTGGCTCAGTAGTTAAGTTTCAGCAGAGTATGTTTAAAATGGCATAGGACTTAAAATTTCATCAGGATCAACTACGTCCTGAATGTGAAAATTCAAATGTAAAAGTTCTTATGTGAGAGACATGCTTTAGCTTGAACCATTTTTCTGGCATGGAGCAACACATTGTACTGAGTAAGAAAACATTTACTATTTCATATATGTGGAACACAGGAGATAAAAGCTCTTGTCAGTCACCCACAGGGCACACAGCAAGTCAGGAATTTGTGACATGATTGTCACTCACAATCYGATTGTCTGATCTGATTGTCGCTCACCCATTGTTGTCCTTCCTCCCTCCCCCATGTCCAAAGTAATTTGTCTTTGCCTAAGTGTACATATAAATTAAAATATTTTTGAAACTTCAGCTTCTCCAGAAAATATAAATCTTCTCTCCTGCTGTTGTATTCGAGTGACAWGTGGTTAGAGATTTTTTTTCAGATTTTTTCTTCCTATCAAGCCTGTCTCAAAAGAGAGGCCTCCTCTCTTCAGCTCATGACATTGTGCCAGCCCACTGATGGAGAACCTATGTTGGCTCAAAAGGCACACACTTTCCTATATGTATATCACAGAACCACAGAATGATCAAGTTTGGAAGAGACTTTCAATCCAACCATCACCCCAGCACCACCATAACCACCCCTAAACATTATCCCCAAGTGCCACATCCATACACCTCTTGCATGCTTCCAGAGATGRCGATTTCTCTGAATCCCTGGGCAACTTATTCCAGTGCCTGACCACTCTGTACGTGAAATTTTTTTTCTAGTATCCAATCTGAACCTCACCTTGGACAATTTAAGGTCATTTCCTCTCACCTCCAGTCAGTGCTGTTGTGAATGACCCACCACTTGGGGATCACTATGAAAATATTTCTACAGTATGTGTTTGAAACATACTTGAATTGGCAAAACTGATGTTTTTTGCCTTAGATGTTTTAGTTTTGCAGGCTTTTAGTTGCAAATATGTATTGCTACCTTTCCCCTTTGAAACTAAATTAATAAAGCAGTAGCAGGATGATAAAAACTATCCTTTACTGAGACTTGTGACAAATGACTACAAGTTCTCCTTGTTTGAAATCCGGTAGAATATGGATTTACATTGGAATTGTTGACCTGTCTTGGGCTTTGAAATTCCAAATGGGATTCTGAATGTCAAATTGCTGAACATGTTACTCAGAGTAAATGCTTGTTGAGCCACTAGTGACAAGTGGTTAAAGACTGTAAAAGGCAGCAACTGAAATGAAAATAATGAAATGCAATGAAAGAGCATGTAAATTCATTTGACTGGCAGCGACACCACAATAATGTTGCCAATTAAGTTTTTAAAAATAAAAATTGGTTTGCAATGTAGTTGGAAGTCRTAATTATTTTAAATGGACAGAAGCTAAGTATAGAACGTACACTGCCAACRAGTTTGACTGATTGCACCTTGGGAAGGAAACAAAAAGGAAGAAGCCCAGTTGTAACGCTGACTGAAAATGGTGCATTTTGTTCCCTGCTGTGCTAGTAAGCTCAGCCTTACATCTGGATTMATGGGGGGAGAGATGTGGTCCCACATGCAAAGGCAGTCCTTGGCAGTATTATCCAGTGTCACAAAATATCTTAACTCAGTCAACTGTAGGAATATATCTGTTATCAGAACCATCTCAGGTTTTAGATAAGTTGGTGACAGACAGGATTATCTTGGCTGAGGCATGCAAATAAGTTATTTAGAAACATCCAAAGATATATCTCAGTGTTGTCTATGTAACACTTCATTGCTGGACTGAAGCAGTCTCAGAAGGAAGCAGGGCAGTTTACCAAGGGCTCTAATTTTAGCTGTTGCTTGTCCTTTGCCCAGTTGGGGTATTTTTTAGTTTCTCAGGAAGTTACTACTTCTTGGAATTGTGCTGTTGCAGATCTCAAGCCACAACATAGAGGTAGAAAGTAGCTGTTTGGGCTTTGTATACTGTGGATCAAGTGCATTCTTTAAAGCATTAGGTTGTGTGCAGGTATTCAAGCAAGTTTGTGGATTCAGTTCTGACAGTGTTAATCTCAGTTCTWCCAAATGTATTATCTGCACCATTGCTGAATTGCAGATTTTTTTATTTATTGGCTTGATTTTTAATACATAAAATGATGGTTTTATGGAAACATTTTTGTAGTGTGCAGAAACTACTCACAGAGCAGCACTGCTGAAAGCCTGCTTTATGACCATCCTCTGCATTTTGCGCACAYGCACATATGCCAGCAAATAAGACTGCACAATACCAGCCTACATCTTTTCCACAAATTGCATATGAAAATTAATTTGACATCATCCAGGCATGACATCATTGTAAAAGACTTGAGGGATGAAGCAAGTGTGAAGAACATTTTTCTCTGCTTGTTCTGATACAGCATCAGTGAGAATGAGCAGACTGATGTTGTATTCCCTCCAGCTGTGATGAAACTGTGATCCTTTCTCTGTCCTTACCTAAACACTTGAGAAATGAGAAACGGCACATCTTTTGCAACAGTTTCCTGTGGTTTTTGGGTGGATGTATTTTACTATAAATGTTTTCCTTTGTCCCGATTGCCGTTCAGAAGGAAGGGCAGTACCAGAAATTCAGGATGAAGTGCTCACCAGCTGACAAACCCTTAAAGAGAGCAGCCGTGGACCAGCACTGTGGCTGTGGAGGGCTGTTGGTGGCACTTTCGAGGCAACACACCCTGGCAGAGTTGCTATGAGAGATCAGAAACACTGTAGTGTTGTTTCTGTTCCTTCTACCCCAGCTGCTTCCRGTCTTCTGGGTGGGGACATGCTGCTTAGTGCAGGGGGAGAGTGAAGGTTCTTGTCCTTTCGTGTGCTGGCTGAGACACAAGTTCCTTGCTGAGCTCCCCTCAACTTCTTTAAAAAAAAAGAAAAAAACAGAAGAAGAGGAGCAGCTTGCTAGCAATTCACCAGAGGAGCCAACTCAGCTGCAGACAGGCAGGCAGGCAGCCAGGAGTCAAGTAAAAGCAGCCTGAGTAYCACTGGCAACAGCCCAGACTGCCTTCCTCGTTTGGCCTGCACTCCCCTGAAATATATATGTGCGTAGCTGTGGGTCTTTAAGGGCCAAAATCTGTGAATATGCACGGAGTATGAGATCCAGCTCAACATAACATTAAACTTCCAGTGGTTTTTTGYTCAGGTTTCATTTGCAGCAGGAGGGCTGGGTTTTCTTTCCTTTGCAAGCAAAAACTCAGATGATGTCTTTGTGCCCCAAGATTTGAAGACTTCAAAAGCTATCCTTCCTCCAACAACAGCTGTTTTACATTTAATCCAGAAAAGTTCTGTAATTACAGTCTTTAGGTGCGGAGCAAACTTGCAACGTGACTTCCGAATTAAATACTTTTTACCTTGTCTATGCTCGTTATTTTTATATAAATATCTACTTAAGTGAGATACCTTTAGGCTCAGTAAAGCAGGATTTATTTAGTGTTTCAGATTTTCTAATGAAGAAATAATATGAACAAAAATTTCTTTCARCCTTAGAGGGTTTTTATGTATGTGAGTTCTGAGTGCCCTTAAGTTTCATTGCAGATAGAAATGGATAAAAACAAAAGCAAAGACAAATTTACAGTTGTGTCGACTATGGTAGGCACCTCTTATCCCTCAGAAAAGGAGGGAATAATACAAAATTAAAAAACTGTAGTAAAGAGCTGTAATACAATATTTTGTGGAGGGGAAGGATTTTGAGAAATCTTTGTAGACCTGCCAATTCTCTGTCTTCTCCAAGGCTGTGCTTGGTATTTGCGGGAAGGTGGGCAATTATTTGAAGCACTTGAAAATCAATGTAGCTTTAGCTGAAGTAGAACCRAAAGAAAGAGAAAAATGGAGCCTGTCTTGATAGGCTTCCCATTTTGCACATGCATAATATTTTAGGACATAATCCTGGCTCTCACAGCATCTAGCGGGTGGGACATTTTTTCCTCAATACAGAAACATTGAACAGCAGTGCAATTTGATACAGAAAGTGATTTATTCCCCTGCTGATAACTGAGATCATCTAGCATTCCAGACAGGCACAGTTAATGGATGACTTATCCCTCACCCAGCAGCTGATTACAGGACCTCAGGAGACAGCAGGCAGCTTTGAGTGAGGCTATAGAAACAACATGGCATTTTATTTTCCTTTTAGTGTTATTGCAACTATATTCAGCCCTGGAATGCTACAGCTGTGTCAGTCTGGGCCCCCTGCAGCACTGGCATGCGTGGAGGTGGTAGGCAGCACTCAGGCCCCCTTGCACTAAAAACATTATTACCCCTTTCTGCAGTCTCTGTGTAAACACTTGTGGGGCGGAGTAATGGGCCTTCATTTGCTCAGAAGATCCACCAAGACTTTTCTTAACACTCTTTGTTAGAATTCCTGCTATTCTAGGGTCAGTTTAAACCATTCCAGCCCTGAAGGAATGTCAATTTGCTGAGTTGTACTTCTTGATATGAACTGAAAGATGCTATCTCCTGGCATCTGCCACTGGAATTTTACTGGAGGTTGATTCTTAAAATTATCCATCAAAATATTTGAGGTGCAAACTGGGATGCTCATCAGCAGAGACAAATCAAGCCTGAGTTGATTCTTTTTTCTTAGCAGATGCTTCTTCTCAAGGAAGATGAAGACTCAGTGTCTGAGCAGCTTGCTGTGTTAGGTTATTGCTAAGAAGTCTTAAGTAGCTTTGATTTTTTTTCTTTTTTAATTAAAAAAACCTCTTTTTTCAGAAGACACCATTTTGGGAAAAGTAATTCAGTTACRCATCACTAAATCTCTGGCTTTGCAGAGAAGTTGTCACATGATTCAATTTTCTCATGCAGCTTAGAGAATTAATTTCTTTTCTGAATTTGTCACACCCTACATTGCAATGTCCAGTCCATGCTACATCTGTGTCCTTTCTGTGAACTTTTAAGTAATGCTCAGATGTGTTGAGGAAGTATTGGGTGTGTGTTTGATGTAAAAATTTTTTGTTCCAAATGTATTTTGTAAAAATTAAGATTATGTTCCAAATGTATTTTTTTAATGCCATTCTTTCTCCTTCTAGCACTACCAGCTCAACTGCAAGCAGTTGTGACACAGAATTCACGAAGGAGGATGAGCAGCGGCTGAAGGATTACATCCAGCAGCTGAAAAATGACAGGGCAGCAGTGAAACTGACAATGCTGGAGCTGGAAAGCATCCACATTGATCCCCTTAGTTATGACGTTAAGCCACGTGGAGACAGCCAGAGGCTTGACCTGGAAAATGCAGTCTTGATGCAAGAACTCATGGCAATGAAGGTATTTTAGTCATAACCTAGAGGGGAACTGCTCTGCTSGCAATGCCTCTGCTACAAAACAATGCTCAGTCACACACATGGCTTTGATGGTCACTAGGTAACTTTATTGAAGCACATAATATGGACTGAAAATCCAGGAGTCAGAAAGTGACAGAAGGCAGTGCATTAACAGTGATGAGTTGTGTATRTTTTGAATTAGGCGAGGACTTCATCTGTGTCTCTAAACTTGGAATGCTCTTCTGGACAAACCAGATGCTCTCTCTAAGAGATAGGGCAGCTGAGTTGCTCGAGGATGACCAAAAACCATGATTCAGTACTTCCCAAGAGRCAGTTCATTATTTACGAGCTTGCAAATGTGCATCATGAATATTTGTGAACTGAAGCAGAACAAATTCAGCTCCTTTTAATATTGGTGTGGGAGGAGGAATGGTCTGTCACATGTCATCCCTGATGCCYTCTGGCAGTTGGTCACAAGTTCTGTGCTGTTTTAGGCACTGTGTTGCAATCTGTAGCTCAGTCCAGAGTCTGRGCAAAGAGTAGAGTGTGTAATGACTTGCATTAAGAGAGGGTTTTGGAAAAAACGCTGGTTTATCTGTCCATCTCTAAAGATGTGATCTAGAAAAGCTGATCTTTACTGACCCGTGTAGCGCTTATATAATTTTAAATCTGTCTTCTGTATTGATTTTGAGAGGTAAACTAAAACATAGGAATATATCAAAGCCAATACAAGTGTATGTCTGCATTCAGAATTTGTCTGGTTTTGGTTCAGTTTAAGTAAGTTTAATTTCTGCATTTTAACRAGTGCTAATTAATTGCAGACGTGTCAAGTGATGGTATTGAGTGGGACAGCAAATCCTAATAATTTCATAAGCTTCTAAAGTTAAAGATTTTTTGTTCAGATGTGGTGYCTCTGGCTAACTGGTAGCCTGGGGATGATAATTATGTTCTTAGTGGTGCTGCTTTTCCATGACAATACAGTTTTGCAATAATGCCTTCATCATTTGCAGTTCAGAAAAGATTGCTTGCTACCAGTCAGAAGATTTAAAGTTATGTTAGTTGTTTGACTATATTGTGGCCAACAGCAATATATTCCCCACAACTAAAGCATGCAAGATATACTAGAAGACTTTTGTAGATCATTGGATGTGTATTTTAGATATCCTACTTCCTTCTCCTTTTTTTTGCATCCTAGTCTTCCCTGAAATGTCTATTATGCTATTCTTACCTGTTTTTAAGTTTTAACTTGTATTAGTTTATTTTCATAATTTTATTTTAATTTATAAAAGGTAAGGGCAAACTGCAGAGCCGCATCCCTTGTGAGTAGTGCCCTTGCCTTCCCTGACTGGCAGGAACATCAACAGTTGCAGGTCATAATTTCTGGAATACTTTGAGTGCTGGTAATTCTTTTGTGCACACAACAATCATCTAACTTGTTTTTGACACACGGCATCCATTTGGCTGGACCTGGCACACTAGATTTTCACTGCAGGAGATGCTTCTGGAAGCAGAAAATTTTCTTCTTGATTGGGTTGTGTGTAGTGGATACAGAGTAAACGCATATTTTGCATAGGTGGCTGAAGTTACCTTCAGCCCTTTGCAGTACGGAGAAACAGACACAACTGTTATTCATTGTAATTTCTTACACTTTGCTGGAACTCACAATTGCAGGAAAACCTTATGCTTCTGAAAGAGACATAGCGAAAACTCAAATTTGTCAAATGTATTACTTGCCACTTTCCATGGTTGTTGCTCAGGTCAGCATTAAACCTCGTTATCTGCCAAGCTAGAGCAGAGTTGAACCTGAGGTCAGGACTCATGTTGGCTTTCTGAGTAAATTCTTGTATCAATTATTTGAAACATGYACCTTACACAGRATATCATATACATCTGCCTCCTTCTGAGGCAAATRGAGAATTTAAGTTTCCTTATGGTATTTTATTTAACTTGCAGCAGATAGACTGCAGAAGACTTCATTGTTTAGCATTTTTAATTTGTTCCCTCCTTTCCACATTCTTAGCAAGGATGATACAGCTGGACCAAGCTACTCAACGATTTCCTGCATTGCTGGGTTTTACAATCTCCTGCTGTCTTCCAAAACTTGGATCTGTGTTGGAATCTCTGCCTCATCATTTGGCACCTTCCATTTCTGATCCTCAGTAAAAACTGATCACCATATCAGTTTAAAAATGCCTTTACACCAGTAGTTCTTCATTATTAGTTAGAAACATGCTTTGAGGGTGGTTTCTCTGCTGTCCTGTTTTTTGTTGTTTTTTTTTTACTGATGCAGAGCGTAAGATGTAGTTATCTGCCAGTATTCCTGTAAAATTCAATTCTTTGCTTCAAGCAATAATTAACCATGTTTCCAGATACATTCTCGTCCATGGTTTGTCATCATTCAGTGGTCTTGCTTTGAGGTCAGTTGTTGTCATGCCCCAGTTAGCAAGGAGATTGCTTCTTGTGGGTGTAAATAATTGTTAGTTTACAGCCTTTCTGCATTTCAAAGAACTTAATCTAGATAAGAAGTCTCAACTTTCTACACTGATAACTTTTACTCTTTTGTGTACAGGTGTTGATAATGTTACTCATTATGTGCTTTGAGACTRCAGTCTCTTGGTGGAAAATGTTAAGAATTCCATTGTCCACCTTTGTTACAGCACTTCATGCTCTTAYAGATTATGTGATGAACTGTAGTTAATTAGAGCATGACATTTATCTGCTCTTTTATCTGCATCATTTATCTGATGTTTGTTTTAATTCTAAAGGCTGGTATGTCCCACCTTACTACAGTGATGTTTCTGGTTATTTTGAATCAGGAGTTTTTCATTTCCATTTAAGTTTTTGCCCAAATTCAGAATTACAATATGACGGCAAGTATGAAATATCCCTCAGTATTCAGTTAGTTAGTCCCAAAGTAGCTGCTGGATTTGATACTTGAATTCTGTGAATTTGCATGGACTGTCTATGTCTTCTGCAATCCCCTAGAGGAGGGACCACTTGCAGCCTCCTCCTTCAGGGTCTCATTCAGTAAATGCCACTCGTGTTCACACTCAGAAGATTCTCGTGTGTTAAACTGCAAAATGCTTCATAGCACCCTGTAGCTGGAAGATAAGGGAAATAGTAAATATACAAAAGGTGTCACTGTCATTTCAATTAAATTTTGATACTATCTTTAGAAAACATATGTTCATGGAAAAAGTTGCTGGGTGTGTAAAAACTGACTCTCTAAGTAAACCTGAACTACTTGATTTTTCCCACATGAGGTGTGACTGCTGCCACTCTGCCTCATGCATTGTATGTGTCCAGACTACAGTCCTCAATTTTCAGGACTGCAGCTTTAATTTTCAACTAACTTCAACTTTTCCATTCCCCTCTGTTCCTTCTCTGGGAGCCTCAGTAAGACACCGGCTGACAGCTTTTTAACTTTTCCCCTGCTTTGTTTTTGCTTCTTTGCTTCCAAGTCACATTRTTTTGGCATGAGAAAACTAACATATGGGAGGTGCATGATACGTGTTCTGGGAGAGGATGCAAACTGGTGAATTCATATATGATGATCTAAGCTTACTGTCTTCATAAACAAAGGACTTAAACATTGATCCTCAAATATGTTTTGAGCTTGGATGTGTTGAAATAAGTTAAAATTATGAAAATAAGTTAACGTTTTTGCATTATGAGAAAAAATAGTTCCATGCAGTCATTTTGTAGAGGATAAATTCACCTTTTTATTTTAGGAAGTAAATGTCCCTTCTTTCTGGATTGAGTTTTCCTAGCTTCAGTTTCCAGCCAGGAAAGATCTTGTCATGACCATCYCACACAGCCAGAATTATCTTCTTTTCATCTAAGTGCCAAAATACTCTGTTCAAATTACTTCTCAGCCTTCACTAAGAAGGCTAAGTAGATTATTGGCTTTAGAAGTAGAGGCTTAAGAAGTTAAATGCATACACCTAAGTATACCAGACCATCCAGTTCAATTTCTATAATGAAATTTCCMCATCATTATTTAGCAGTATTATTTACATTTTTTACTGTTGACAAAGGCAATTAATGGTACATTTGCCTAACAACTAAATTTATRTTAACCACATTGAGTGAAACTGGTTGTGCTTCTAATCTTCAGTTCACAAACAAGCAGATGAATAAATCAATGACTTTAAAGCTCATGCAAATCTTTCCAAGCCCCTCAGGGTTTTTAAGATAYGATTTTTATTTTTGTATGGTTTGTGATTTTGAACCAGCTAGTGATTACCTGTGATGGTTGTAACTGGGATACACGTGTGCGCACTGCTTAYACTTAATCCATAAAGCACATTTTTGGTGGGAACATAGATTCCCTTCTACATAAAAATTAGTCTAAATATGTGTCAAGATTTGTATTTTTGCAGCGTTTGTTAATAATGGCTATAATATGAAAAACATAGGTTTTGAATGATAAGGCAAGAAACCTCTGTTATTTTTGTGGTTAGAATACTTCTTTTCATTTAAAAAAAAAAAAAAAGAATAGTGACTTATTCCTAGGCTGGCACCACAACAAGAAACTTCCAACTTTCAGAGGTGTTTACACAGTGAGCACGTCTGGAACAGAACTGTATTACAGAAAATGTCTGTATGAACTCAGTATTCAGCCATGAGGTGACTTAGGGCAAGGCAAACTAAACAGTAGGAACATGACTCTAGGTTGTTTTTTNTTTTTTTTTTTTTTTTTTTTTTTTTTGTTTTTGTTTTGTTTTGTTTTGTTAGTCTTTTGTTTGTTTAATAGTAGTTTTAAGCCCATAATGTAAATTATGTCTTAGTACTATCTCTTTAAAGGTTTTGTGGATACTGGCTTTTTCTGGTTATAGAAAATAACTGGACATTTTGTACAAAAAACTTTTCTGAAGTGTTGTTAATCACAGAGAGCCTTCTGGTGCAGGAATAACCCATCATTTGCTTTTCATGGGAGTCTGGGAATATGTGCTGAAAGAAGGGTCATTGYACTCATGCCCTGCTCTTAAATTTCTGCCCAGCCACTGTTAGATGGATGTTAAAACAGAGATCTGTCCCCAAAGAGAAGACATTGTATTACARTAGGTGATAGCCCTGTCAGAAGCATCAGAGAGCAGAATTGCACACAATAAGGAGCTCTCAGAATTAAGCTTCTTTCTATCAAGTACCAGTGTGCATCTTCTATGGATCATATTTAGGGTAGAATATAAGTGAATGCATTTTTCTGCCAAATTCATATTGTGTATACTTGCAATTCTGGCCATCTAGAGGAGGGAAATTATAAATGGACATCTGAGGGTGCCATACTCAGTTGCCCTTTTGGATTAACTCATTCTGCCACAGAGGCTGATATTACAAGGCCTGTGACCTGTGTGTGCTGTCCTGGTCTCTCAAACTCCTTCCACTGTACTGAGATAAATTCTTACATACCATTAAGAAACTGATATCTGGCTTTTAGAGAGTTATTTGACAAAGTCATACACTTTTGCTTTTAAGACAGTGGTCTCTGAAGGGCAAAAGTGGAAACAAATTTCAGAAGCTGCGACAACTCTCTCAGGTCCCTCGTAGTGTGATTCTAATTTTGCCCCTGAGCTTATTTCTGAAGATGGTTGAGGGGTGGCACACCTCATCATACTCAGACTAAAGATACTCAGGTCTTTTGACAGATATACAATGTGATGATAAAAAGTCATCTGGATGGTGATAGTGTTCTCATTGAAAAGAGCACTTAGGTCATAGGAGTGGGTGGAAATCTTGTTTAACATCATCTTCCTTCAGGGACATAGTCCCATGAAGCATCGTGCTGATGATACCGTGTTTTTTCAACAGGAGGAGATGGCAGAGCTCAAGGCACGGCTCTATCTGCTGGAGAAGGAGAAGAAGGCATTAGAATTGAAGCTGAGCACTCGAGAGGCCCAGGAGCAGGCCTACCTTGTCCATATTGAACACTTGAAGTCTGAAGTGGAAGAACAAAAAGAGCAGAGAATGAGGTCTCTCAGCTCAACCAGCAGYGGAAGCAAAGACAAACTGGGCAAGGTCAGGCATCAAGCTGTGTTTCCAAAGCCGTRAACATGATTAACGAAACCTCTCCTATCCCTATAAACATGTTCATTCTCATCTTTTGTCTACATGTAGATCTTTTCTCTCTTCCCTAGTTGTTAAGTGATTTTCTTTTGTGCTGTGACTTCAGAGGATTTTGCAGAATTGGTGTTATGCCTGGGCTAAAATAAGGGTATTTTGAGGAGTACTATAAGGCCAGTCTTGTCAAGCATACAAGTTGCTGTGGTTGAACATGCTTTTTGCCTGTTGCCACTCACTGGAAACCCTGGAAGGGAGTCTAAGCAAAATGCCATTCTCCCCTAAACACAAAATATGAAAAAATGAGTACTCACTTTTGTGAAACATCTAGAGCATTGTAATGACAGTCTCTTTCTCCAAATCAGATTGTAGTAATGTGAGAAAGAAGACTTTTGTCCTGTTTGTGTAATGCAAAATAAACAGATCTCTGCATTTGCAGTAATAATTTGCATTAAGAAATATATGCCTCAGAAAACTTCATCTTATTTTAGTGCTGTGTCCCCAGGAAATTTCAATAATGTGTTTAAAAACAAAATCCAGAGCTATGTCTTTCTTACTTGCCTCTGGCAATTCATCATCTGAATTTTTTGATCCCAGTGCTTCTTTGTTTCAAGTGTAGTGTGAAAAAAAAATATAAGGAAGGCACCAACAGTTCTGTACACTGCAGCAGAATTCTGTGAGCTGCAGTGGTTTAGAAAATATTTAGAGGGAKTTGTGAAGTATTAATCTGTTTAGTCCATTCCTCGTTATATATGATATACTGCCATGATATACTGCCATGTTGCTGCAGCATTGTGTTGTTTATTTCAACTTCTTTTTCAACGTAGCTGTGAACTAAGGTTTTCAAACTTTTCCCATTAATATGATGAGTAACTTCTATTTAGATGGCTCTTCTTCCTTTCTCAGGAATGGAGTGATGGCACTGCAACACCGCTCACACTTGCTGAGCTGAGACCATACAACGAGAGTGAGCTGACTGCTGAGCTGACAAATGCACTCAGGAGGTAAGCACAGCTTCCCTCACCAGGGGCTGACTGGTCCTGTCTGTCCAGGGAAACATTTATCTCTGAACCTTTTCTCTAACCCTCGAGTGGTTTGAAGAGTGATCACAGATTTGTCCCGTGAGAAGGAAAACAATCACAGTCCTCCTAATGTTCCCTTCTCTTCTGCTGTTCTTTAGCTGATGAGTACTCATGTTGCTCAACTCCATTCTCCTTGAGATTCTCTAAAATTCAGTTAAATTTCAGAAATAAAAGAAACCCTCAAAATRGCAGCAATGACCACATACAGGCAAGAGTATGAGACATAAAACAGTTACACAACTTTATTGCATGTGTAAAGAAAACCTGTAGTGAAGACAGGATTTGAAATGTGATCTTTGATTAAGAAGGTTGGCTGCAGGTTAGAGCTTGGGTGGGAGTTACAGGGGTGGGAATTGCAGGCATTTTGATGACTCAGATGCTCCATTTGCCTCCTGAGTATGTAARTGGAGCCGCAGTTCAATTACAAATGATATTGTGTGAGGCATTAGCTTTCCAATGGGAGAGAAAATTGATGTCTTGACAAATGGCTTTTATCAACAGCCAGGTTTTAAGCCTAAGCTTTCATACAGTTATACATTAGCTAGATACTTGTTTGTGCAGCAGTTTTTCCTGCACTAGCTATGTGGTAAACTTCATGACAAAGAAATTCACAGTTTCAATAATGGTTGCAGTACTTGTTCTGCCTTCTCCAAGAAATGGCTGTCTAATATCTAATCTGGTTCTTATATTTATTACCTGTTTAAAATGCTGCTAAGAATTTTGGCTGGGAAGATTGTGTTATGCTTTACTGGTAGTGCTTCCACCACTCTTTGATGGTGCAATGTCCTTTCAGGCAACTGTGGTGTTCCATTCCTGAGGTGCTTTTTTCAAAGGTGCAATGAGTGGTGTGCCTAGGGACACTTAAGCCCAAAAGGCAGAATCAATACATCTCATACTAGTCTGGCAGTTGCTGAGTACTTAGTTTGCATGATGCAGGAAACAAAATTCCATGAGTAAAATAATCAAAACTGTCATTTGTGTGTGGGTGGATAAAACCCATCAACAAAGTAATTTACATAAACATTACAGAAAGCCATTGGCCTCCCCCATATCCCCCGCACTGCAGCCCTGGTGTCAGCTGCTCCACCAGTATTTTCTCCCTTCATTCAAGCTGCTGATTCTTCCTGCTCTTGTTATTTGCTCCAGGATTTTGAGAAGAGCCATTGACTTCAGTTAGCAGGGGTTTCAGTGTAGTCATGAAATGTGGTTTGCTGACAGCACAGAGAAAACAACTTTGCTTTATCTACTAGGCCTTAAGTTGATTAGCATGGATTTCCAGCCAAGGGCCTCGCAAATAYAGTTTGTCAGGCAGAAATGGGGAAGAAAAATAATCGGATTAAACTGTACATAAATTGTGAAGGCTCTCTGTGTAATGGAAATAGGACTGTACTAAATGTGATTGCTGCTGCCAGTGGGGTTCCCCAAGCACAGTTCCCACAAGCTCTGTGGACAGGGTATTTTTCTCCCTAATCAGTGTGCCAGCCAAATCAGGSTGAATGCTTATTCCTCCTTGCCCTGAAGTCTTGTCTCTGCAAGTCAGTTGAAGATCTGTCTAGCACAGGGAGAAGGCTCACTGCAACCTGTTTAGCCACAGCTATGCTAGAAAATACGAGCAGTCCCTAATGCTGTTCTGGATAAATGGGCCCTCAAATATCACAATGAAATTTATACCACCACAAATTCAACAAAAAAATTCTAACAATGATCAAAGTCCTTTTTCCTCCACAGGTGTATCCTACTCACCCACCAAAGAAGTGGGAACAGAATACAAAATCAAAAGTGTCCCAGTAGCTTTGTTTGCTGAAGGATAACAGGGAAAAGATATGAAACAAGTGCATATCATGTTCTGTGGTCCAGAGTATTTGATTACCAGTGCTCAGGAGTGTTTCAGAGCTGGTTACAATTCATGCACATGTCCAGCAATTGGTCCTACCTGTTGTTTCTGTAGGTAGGAGACACTGGTGCAGGGGATAGGGGGCAAAAATCCATTTGCTTTTGACTCTGTCAAAGCAGRTGATACCAATCAACAGCCCTGCTTCCTGTCTGCTCCTCATCCTGTCATTACAGAGGCTGAATCTCTGCCTGCTCACCCCTCTATTACTTTCCCATTCTGTCCTTCTATTGCTGTTAAATTGTCAGGTTCTCCTCAGTTAATTGAAACAGAGTGAAACCCAAAAGAACAGCAAAACGTAGTTACAGTTTGGCTTTTGCTGTAGTTTGGAAGCATTTATTTGCTCACAGTTTACAAATGGCCATGCAGAAGAACAGTCTCATCCTCAGAGCCAGGCTGTCTTCTCTCTGCAGATGTGGAGGTTTTTTGTAAATCTAGAATCCAGCAGCATCTTGTGAAGCTTTTGGTAGTGCCCTCAGCAGAAATTCGAGGCAGAAGCAATTCTTCATCTCTTGTGTCATCTTTGCTCTAGAACAACTCAGGATTTCCTGTAGTGGTGCTCAGTGTTAAAACCTCTGTTAACCAGCTTTTCACAGAAGTCACTTTTCCATGGTCGCTATGCTAACTAGGAGAAATGTAAATTAGCTGCAAGTCCTATGCTGTTAAAGTTACATCTAGGTTAACTAATTTCTGGCATTGCAAGCTAAGCTCACTGCTTTAGGGACATATCCTGTTCCAGCCAAAAGTAATCACTTTCWGCCAGAATCCTTAACAGTTTATTTTCCCATCTCTCTGTTTTTGATGGAATGATGAAGTGCTTTAATAGAGATGAAGCCTCTTTGTTCTTGACTTTGACACAGCCATAAACAAGCTTCTTGGCAGGAAAATAACTTTTTCTTGTGAGGRTAGAAATGCATTCTCAGCAGCCTGATGAGCTGGTTGACACCTTGATGATTGTGCCAGAGGCCAGTTTTTACAAGACAAGATGTGGTTGAATGCCCCAAAATCAGACATGTGACACAGTCTCGGAGGGAAGACCTTAAAATGGTCTCTTCTTTGCTGGCTTGTTCTGCTCTGCTGGGGCAGGACAGGGAGCACTGGACATTACTTGCATGAGTTTGTCACTCAGTAGGCACATACCAGGTTATGCATGAATTAATGCAGGTAAATGCATTAGAGGTGGCAGGAGGGAGGCAGTAAGAACTGTGTCTTGCTGTAGAAGGGTGATAATAGTGATGATAGAACAGATCTTCTGCTAAGTTCTTTCATTCTGTGCAAAATGGACAAGTTGACAAYACTGAAACTTCTTCCTCTCCCTAGGTCTTGCTACAAATGCTTTGATTGTGGAGGTCCTCTTGCAGTCTCTCCCTGTATTCCCAGTTGCTGATAGCTTTTCTGTCTATGTAGGGTTGTATTTTATTCGTATATTTAGGGAATAATTTATAAATCATTAAAATACTTGGCAGGAAGGTCTAGCAATGCCAGGCAAGGACCATGGCAGGCAAAACACTTTGTAACTAGACTGACTCTTCAGACCTCAGCTGCATCATCATCTGGCACAAAATTATGATCCTTGATGGCTGTGCAGGGTTACATGAATCGTGTCATTCTAGACATGTTTCAGTATCTCCCTCACAAAAGGGTGACTTTCCATCTGGCAACACAACAAATGAGCTTTATATTTACCATGCCTGATGACTTCTAAACTGAGAGATAACGTGGTGAGTGATACTGCTAACTGGGAAGTTGCCTGGAGAGGGGAAATGAGTAGTAATCAGTAGGACTGGCAAACAGCTCTCTTTCTGTGAACCAAAAGTTCATTTTGCACAAAGCTGTGGTCCTGCCTCTCTGGAAGTGGAAGCTGCAGATATTTATTGTAGGACATAAAAAATGCGTCCTATTGCTGTAACTTCTATGAGTCTGTTGAGACATCGCAATGTTTGTTGCAGTCTTAGGTCCTTRTCCCTATCTGAAGACCACAACCATGTTTTGTGCCAGCCTTCTTTTCAGAGAGCAAACATTTCAATAGGAAGGTGTGCCAAGGCATGGCAGTGACTATTTCCTGACACARTGTCAGTGAGAAAGAAACCAAGACCCTTCCTTTATTTTAAACTTCCATAAACTTCATGGATGATATCTTAGCTTGGCATGTTTTTAAGGACTGACCATAGTTTCATGATAGCAGGAGTCAATAAAAGCATCATTGAAATTCAAGCCTATCCTGACCATCACTAAGGCAGTCTCAGAAATGGAAATACCTAAAACACATCATACTGTAATAATTCAGATTTAAAGTTACTCTTTAGACTTCTACTGGTTCGTAAAAGACTCCTTTTCTTTGGTAAGGTACAGGGTGAACATGCAGTCGGTGAAATTGGGGGGAGGGAGGCAGGGGTTCCTCAGCTCTTTCTGTCAGTGTTTGCTTATTTCTGTTCTCCAGTTATCACATCAATTAAATGAGAAGATAAGCAGCTCTGAGGCACTTGAAAGCCAGACAGTAGTATGGATTGCAGTCATTGCAAATTTCAGAGACATCTCTCTTTTGTGACTGTGCAGTATCCTGCTGTGCTTTCCCCTTGGTTGCCTGGAGGGTTCAGGAGGTATGGCCTGTCTCTGGTGATCCTTCTGGAGAGTCCCACTGGGAGAAATATTCTCACAAGAAGAGGAGTGACTCATGGTAATATCAGGGACCGATTCCTTAGAAGTACCTCGAGTAGCTATTTTTACCCTGTGCCTCACAGACAACCATAATTTGTTTTTTTCTCAATTTTTGACATGGAGTAAGTAGTTCTTCTTATCACCATGTGGTTGTCTGAACTGCTGAGCTGCTGTGCTCTTGGATATAATCGTCACTCAGCTCCAAATAGCTCCAGGTCTGGAGAGCTTCCAGGCGGGACTGGCAAAGCTGGGTGGGAGGTTTGAGCAGTGAGTGTGGCAGGCATGCTGCTGCCTCCCTCCAGGGCTGTTCTCCCTTTCTGCTGCCAGCATGTTGCTTCCAGGACCACACCTGGCCTGTCTCCCCACTGCAGGTGGTGTAACACATGCCTGTGGTACTATCTGGTTTTTGAGATCGGTTCTGAGCATCTTGACAATCAGCAAAAGAAGGCAGTGCCGTATTTTACACCAGCAAAGTGATTTTTAAAGCACCTTCTGTCACCCCTGCTATCACGAAAGGCCTTCTGTACACAGGTAGCTGGCAGCTGCATGGTGCCTTAGAAGGTGAGCCAGGAAGACTGGCTTTTGAAGAGGGTGACTTTTTTGGCATTTGTGTAGTGTTACTTTGCTTCCTCTTTAAAACATTTATTGTATTCTGGTGGTTTTCATTAGCAGGCCAAGCCAGACCAGTGAGGCAAGCGTGCATTCTAATTAGCTTGGGGATTCTGCATGCCAGCCTGATGTAAGATGTTAGCTTAAACTGCTGATGAAAAGAGAATTTATCTGCATTCCTTTTAAATGTCCAGCTGTTATCTCCTGAGAGGAGAGGAGAGGAGTCAAATGCCTAGGAAAAACAATCATGTGTCACCCTGTTCAACTGGAAAAGTCAGAGAGGGGAGTGCGGGATGGTGCCAGGGTCACTGCAAGGGAGGATATTAGGGAAGGGAGTAGGAGTGGAGTGTGAGACGTGGGACAAAAGGTGTGTGCTTTCCCTTCAAGGCAGGGGCCCACAGATAGGTCTGGACTGTGCAGGAGGTGCCTTCCCTCCCTCCCCTTCCCCACCTCAGCCATGGCCTGGGGCTGCCCCAGCAGTGTSGATAGCTCTACCAGGAATCCTCGGGCCTCTGTCCCCTGGGCTGGCTGCTCCTGGAGCTGCTGTGTCAGGGCTTTATGTCAGAGCTCGGGGGGCAAGTGCTGAGCTGAAGCCGGTCATCCCCACTTCTTGGGGGAGCCAGGATTTGAAGGAATCTGCCTGTAGCAAGCAGTTCTGCCTGATGGGACTGCAAGAGTCCTCTGCCTGGCTGTGGGAAAGTTTTTCACCTCTTCATTTGGAGAGAGCTCATTGTTCCTCTTTGGCTTCAGATTTGGCAAGAGCTGTGGTGCTCTTGACCCCAGGGCAGAGGGGTGGTAGCTGGTGCTTTCCCAAGAAGCAGAGTTAGCTGGGTTCACTCCAAGCCACAGGCAGAAAAATCAACTTTCTGCATGCTAGAGAAGAGTAGCTTCCTGTTTGCAGCTACAAATTGTGCAGCAGCCGGGGAATTCTCAATGAAGTCAGCAAGAGCAGAAAAATGTGGAAAGGCTTCTAGCACATGAACATGTCTGGAAAAGCCCAGACAGGAGGGAAAATATAMGGTGCTCATGACCTTGCTTACATTACTGTGTGCCAAACATGGTGTCACAGTGTGTAGGCCAAATTGACAGAAACACAGTTTCCTTTATGGCCCTGGCAGAATTCCCCACTCTCCAAACTGGTAGCATTGAAACCAGAATACCAGTCAGCCCCTTCCTATTCAGCCATCCTGAAACAAAAAGCCCTTGAAAACCACTATGCAACTGCCCACTGAGTGTTTGGATTGTTAAAACACCAAACAAAAGCCTTTATTACCAGCATATTAGACATCTCACTGAAAATAGTGTTTTTAATGAATGTTGTAGGCTGTAGGCCTTTGAATACACTTATTCTGAGCTTTTSCCTGGAAAGGGAGCAGTCAGGGATTTCCCCAGCTGACTTCTCAGCAGCAGAGAGCCCTTGTGCTGGAAGTGAGCCRTGCCCTCAGTTCATAGGCTATCATTCCCTCCTCTGGGAATACTTGCTCATTTTCTCTCTGCACATGAAGTGCTGTGGCTGTGCTTTCTGCAGCTCCAGCTTGCAGTAGCCACTTGGAGGAGGAACTGGTGCGATAAAAAGCTCTGCTGACTGCTGCAGTCCAATAGACTTGTGAGTGGGGGGGCTCATAGAAATTGTGTTATCCAAAATGTATTTGCCTCTCCTTCCCTCTCCCCATCAAAATACACAGATGAGTGCTTTCTTGGGATACACAGAGGTCCATTTGACAGCCCTGGCACACAATGGAAGTGCGAGTTTGGTGTGTAAGCTTCCATAGCAGTTTGTACCTCGGCCTCTGAAAGTTTGTATGGCAGCAGCAGGTTGTGCCCACATCAGTAGGATGTTTGTGTGTCTGTCACATCAAATGCACTTCCATCCCTAATCTGCAGCTTTGACATGTTCTCATTGTGGAGACATGCTGCCATATTGAAATTTTGCCACATTAAAAGAATTGCCATATTGAAAATATCCTGCCACATTAAACCTGTGAGGGCTGATTTTTCATGTCCTGCAGTCAGGAAAATGCTGTGCTGCTGGGGATCCCCTAAAGACAGAACCTCAGGATTCAGTATCACTCCTGTTCACTGCCTAACTGCACCGTCAATTTTGAAGAGAAACAAAGAAGGACAATTCTCTCTGACCAAACTGACGTAATCAGGGATACACACTGAGGAAACCAGGAGGAGTTACCATCATGAGCTTCTCTGGGGTTCTTACCAGCACTGARGTACAGCTTGAGGTCTCTCATCTGCACCCTGGGGAAAACCTGACATGTTTTTAGTGTGTAATAATCATTAACTAAGTGCATATTCATTTCCAAGACTAAACCAAGGTGTTTGCTCTGTGTTCACTAATGCTACTGTGCCTGGCTACTCAAGTGTGTCATGTTCTATGAAATGTCTCTTGAAATAAGGATATTTAGATAGGCAGTTTTAAAAATAAGAGCAGGTGTAAAAGTAGATCCCAGGGGTTGTTTTTTTTTCAGATTTTGGGGACATTTGGCACATGCAACCAAACCACCAATTGCTTTCCATAAGATGAAAGTTGAGTAGGTATTACCTAGTGCTATTTTGCTGTCTTCAAGGTGCAATGAAAAGCCAAAAGAAATACTTGTTTTTAATGGTGCCAATATAAATTTGAAGTCGTCTATAGATTTGAAACAATAGATTTTATTTCCTATTTGGCTGGATGTTTCAGAACTGGCATCTGAAAGATGTTTAAGTAGCTTAAAAAGGGTGCTTACTACTCTGCTGGCTTTATGCATTTGAYAAGCAGCAAGACAAGGATGTTGTAGACCAAATGTAAAGAAATACACCTTGATGTTGAGTTCAGGCTAAACAGGGTTGGTTGAAGGGTGTGAGTGATAAACAGACAAAGGGTGATATCATTGTTTTATCAGGTAACAGTCACCATAGCAACCAAACTTTACTATGCATGAAAAGTTCCTCAAAGTCTTTCCACTGTTTTTCTTTTCCACACAGCTTTTGTTACAGCAGGTGTGTGAAGAACTTTAGCTGCAATGAACTGTGGTTCTGCAGGGCTCTTTCCCATGAGACTGTGCAGTTTTTTCACAGCTATACCTTTTCTTGCACATGATGTTAAATCAGCCTCACATGGTTTAGAGATTTCTCTGCCCATCCAAACACTGTGTATGTTTATTCCACGTTTATTCCACTGGGCTTGCTGCTCACATTAGGTTGTCATGCTGGGAATGGTGCTACTGAGCCTTTCCCAGAGCCTCTGGCTGTGCCAATCTTTGGAGCAGAGAAGCCCCAAATTCACCGTACTCTGTTCTGTCATATCAGTAGGTGCCATGCCACAAACATGTTAGGTCTGGCCCCTGACACATCTGATCTTTTCTTGTTTATGTTCTGGGTTTTTTTTTTCTTTCTGCTTTTCATGCAGAACACAGATTTTGGCTGCCGGTTATGCTGAGTCTTCCTGACTGCTGAGATAGGATATAAAAATTATATTTACATTTGGGGTGGATGGCAGTGAACTTTTAACTGCGAGGGAAAAGGGTTGCTTTACCTGAAAGCAGAGAGTGCGTTCCTTCAGTGAAAGGATGTTCAAAGAATACTGATGATTCTTCATCAACAAGGGCCCTCTTATATCCTTTTAATTTGGCTGGTGAACCAGCGCCTGTGTGTCGGGATAGACTGCTAACTTGGAATATTTCCCCGGCTGACTGGGTGAAAGCCCTTCTGTTGCTGCTGGAGCCGGGTGCTGCCCCTCTCTCCGGTGATGAAAGACTGCCATATCCAGGCCTTCCTGGGAACTGCAGGCTGCTGAGCTGTGATGTCAGGAGGTCTCTACAGAGCTGGGGAAGCTTCACAGGCTTCAGGGTATTCATTGCCGTTGGGCTCATGCGGGAACTGGCAGTTGTCTTGTTGGAGAAGAAACTGAGTGTATTCATGTAGCAGCACTGCAGCAAGCACAGGAGGGAGACCTGGGTCACTGCAAAGTGGCTCTGGGCAGCAAAGCACAGACAGGTCTCCAGGCAAACACACAAAGGTCCCAGCTGCAAGATATGATACTGCAAAATCTGTCCCAGTTCCCAGTGGATCCCATCTCCATGTCATATTTAAAACACTTTTTTTTTCCTTCCCCTTCTCCTCCATCCCTTCTAAATCTTACATTATTTTTCTCTGGGCTATGAATGCTGAGAGCTTGGGCCACAGAGGAAGACTCCTGAACAGTCCCATGTGTGTAAGAGTGGGCTGAGCAGGCATCAGCCATCCGTCTGCAGCGGGGAAGCTCCCCAGGAAGAAGCACCTGCCTCCTGCCATGTGCTTACTTGGGAAATGCTTTTTAAACCCACCTTAATCTGTAATGCTTGCTSCTGCCCAGAATTTCTGTGTTGCTCACTTTCTCTTTCCCTCATAGAGATACTAGCAATGTGAAAATATTACAAGGTACTTTTTATCTATTTTGTCACACTTTTGATTCAGAGTTGGTAGGTATTGATAACAATGTTAGCATTGTATCTTTTTGCTTATTTCTTATCCAATGCATACAAGACCATAATCTACCAGAGAAGTTTGTTTCCTCTTTTTTCTGCTCTGTCTGTGACCCTGAATTCTAAAATGGTCAATGTTACAATCTTTGGAAAAGTTTAATGTAAGAACTATATCCTGTATTATTCTAATAGTAGTAAGGAAGATATTTTCAGCATGTCATCACAGCAGAGGACAACTGTTGATGCACTTCCAAGCTGAAGTGTTATCTCTGTTTTGAAAAGTTTTCTACCCTCTTTTTTCCAGGGAGAAGAAACTGAAAGCAAGAGTGCAGGAGTTAGTGAGTGCTTTGGAGAGACTCACGAAAAGCAGTGAAGTAAGACATCAGCAGTCTGCAGAATTTGTTAATGACCTTAAAMGGGCAAACAGGTAAAGTATCTACCAGCAGATAGATGCACTATTGGTTTTTTCCTGTGTTCTGGCGAAGCACTGTAATATTCCCCTTACCTTAATTAGAAGCTTCTGGATCATTACATCCATATGTGACATCTTCAGGTAGTAGTTAGAGAAGGGGGAGGTGTGAAGTTCCCCTGGAGGGCACTGGCAATTGCATGGTTGAAAACAGAAAGCAGGGAAATRGGCTAATCTTAATTGAGTTACTACTAGTGATTGCACAATTAAAAAAGCAAACAAATAAAAACATGATGAATCTGTTACTTTGTTTTAAATTGCTCCTCTTTCTTTGCCTCCAGCCTCTTTATTAACAAACTGTCTTGGATAATGACATCTAAACTCCATCGCTCATTCAGGGCATTTTATTTGTGCTGTGTTTGGATGGCCAAGGAATATGGTAGACTGCAGCTGCCCTTCCTGCAAGCAGCCTATCACTCACAATGTAGCTTTTCCTCAAATTATATTTGAAAGCCTTTGTGGTGAGAGGCACCCTTCTCAARCTTTCCAACCCAGTCAAGGTAGAGGCCCAGAACCAACTCAGCAGCTATCAGATTAACACAAGATGTCACCCTCTGGATATCTTATTTTTATAAAATAAAAATGAAAAATCAGTCCAGGATTTTCTAAGCAGATTCTGGCCATGAAATGTTTTCATAAATAATGTTTAATGTTATGTCTTGACTCATAAACAGTGCCATGAGGTCATCAGCAGCAACCTCCATCTGGCTCTTGAAACCATGTTTAAAGACGTTTTGTTTACTGGTAAAAGCAAAGCACAGGAAAGACACAGATATTAGCACTGATCTGGGTTTGGATCAAAATGTTTGGATCTAATCCATTTTAAACCACTGGTGAATTTTGGGAAGGTGGGGCTTTGGGATAGATCTTTAGTAGCGCTTGCTCCAAACAAGCCTTTTTGACTTTGTGTGCCTTGTGTTTTTAACAGTAACTTGGTAGCAGCTTATGAAAAAGCAAAGAAAAAGCATCAAAACAAGCTGAAGAAACTGGAATCACAAATGATGGCCATGGTGGAGAGGCACGAAACCCAAGTAAGAATGCTCAAACAAAGAATAGCTTTACTGGAAGAAGAGAACTCCAGACCACACACCAATGAAACTTCACTGTAAAGGCATCTCTTTAAAGGATGTTTAGTGCCATTACAACTTTATTTCTTTTGAAGGTTGAATTTTAGGTAGCTTCAAATGCTAAAAGCTCTGATTGTCAATGCTGACAAAACTTAAATGCACCTTCCCTGGGATCCCAGAGAGGTGTAATGGGGATATAAAAGCGTTAACCTTAAGGACTGTTTCATAATGTAAAATGGCAGTGCCTGAATTACCATGCTATAATTGTACATTGTCTGTGTTGTTATGTCTATATTAATACAGCTTCTCTTCCATTTTGTCTGTGTCCTGTGGGTGACAGAGTATAGCAGAATAATTCACGTTAAGAGGTTTTCATTTGGGTACTTTGGAGATCATGTCAGAGTTTTCCCAGTCTGAGCTCCCTCTGTACACAAGTCCATTCTGTACCCTCAAGACTCACTGTTGTGGTTACACCACCAAACAGGCAGCTGCAGAGTGGGGAGATGACAGCCTGGCTGGCTTTTTTTTGCACCCTTCTTGCAGTTCTGCTGCTCACAGTGCAGGTCAGGTAGGAAAACTGTTGCTGATTTGAGAAAATAAACAAGAAAGTGTAGTTGCATCTCTGAAAATTATAATAAAGGTGTGTTTCTTACAGTACACAAGAGAGCCAAAGGCTGTGAGTTTCACCATGCCACAGAAACAGTCTGTGCCAAGGGTGGATAAAAAATTACAGGGACCTCCTGGTATTTGTATTGCATGGTGTTTGCAACTACTTTGTGAAAAAAAAGTTGCTTTTTCTTGCTATGTACGCTATATCCAAGGTTTTCTTTAAGAAGCTGGGCCATTTTTGTCACGTGTATTGTGCTTATTACAGCTTACTGTGATCAAGAGGTAGGATGTCTTTTTTTACTTTTTTTTTTTGACCAAAAAAGGTACGTGTAAGGAATGTACCTGTTCAATATTGAATACATAGGCACAAAACTATAAATGTGTAGATGTATGGATATCCAGCCACAAACAGAATGTGAATGGTGAAGTCTTACAACTTCTTTGGTTAGCTTTTGTTCCTGCTAACATTCTTTTGTTTAAATCACGTATTACTGTATTATCAAACTGACTGAAGTGCAAATTTGGCTTGTTAGGTTAATGAACATTGAGCAAATCATGGGGATCAGGTTRATTTCTGTAGGGGTCAAAATACAGAAATCTGCCATAGCACCTGTTATATTCAGAATTTGCTTATTTTTGATGGAGTATGTAAAACAGCTTCATGTGTGTTTTAACAAGCCAAGCTAGAGTCCCTTCACTGTGTTAGCCTGCTGCTATGTTATGCCTCTGCTTTGCATTTTCCAGGCTGATTTCCAGTGAATCTGATTTTAGGAGATGTTTATCCTTTTTTGCTTTACATGTTGAGTTTCACCTCAAGTTTTACTAGTGTATTTAGAATTATGATAGCTTCTCTCATTTACTCCTCCCATTACTAGTACTAAGGAAATACTTTTAGAGGACTGTTTTTTGCCTACTGTTGGGTTAGGTCAGGCAGACAACCCAGTTGTGCGGATGTGTTCAGAACATGGCATTATTGTTACATCTTGATAACATCTGGAACTGTAGCAGCTGGAGTTCCCTCTCACTACTATAGCTGAAGTCTGATACATCATCTACAAAGCCAGCATCATACGTGATTGATGGCAATAGCAAATTAAAACAACTCTAATTTCAAAACTTTTAGGTAGTGATGTTCTGATTTTGATCAATCCTCTTCCTTAAAATAATTGCACTTCTTAATTTATAATGTGAATAGAAATTTTTGTGTGTGAGTCTCTTCAAGGGAGGAGGCACATGGATTTCTTCTGTCTTTGTGGTTCTGCTTAGCAGTTCTCTGTGGTGTTTCCCTTTCTGGGCCAAATTTTCTCACCCACARGAAGATGGGGGTTTGCCATCAGCCTCAGTATAGTTGAGCACACTTGTTCTGGAGAAACACAAAGGAAAATATCCACTTTCCAAGTGCTGAGGCAGAAACGCAGTTTCACTTTTGTTTTCTGGCATCTGAAGCACCCATGTGACTTGAGGTCATCTCAGAATGCCCATGTGAAATACCTTTCACTGAAGAGGACCAGAAACCACTACTCTTAGGCTCAGTTTTTTTCCTGTTTAGAATAATAATCAGAAAATGGTTTGGATTGGAAGGGACTTTAAAAATCATCTTGTCACAACCCTTTTCTGTGGGCAGGGACATCTTCCACTGGATGAGGTTGCTCCAAGCCCCTTCCAACGTGGCTTTGGACACTTTCAGGGATGGGGCAACCACAGCTGTCCTGCGCAACTTGTGCCAGGGTCTCAGTATCCTCACTGAGGATACTGAAACAAGAGTTTCTTCCATAAAAAAATTCAGATACTTTGTTATACAGAGGCATAAAAGCTTTAGCCTCACTGCCTTTTCCAGGTGTAACCATGTGCTGGTTCTGTTTGTGATGTGGTGACATTTATCACATATCCTCCCTGCCAACTGTGCTCTGAAGTGCTTTAGAATAATTTATAAATCATCAGTAGATGTTAACCACTCCCAATTTTTTCCCATAGGAGTTGTAGATGAGAAAGCAGCATGGTACCATCCAGCAGTGGCCAGTTTGCYAGACCACCAGTTTATTTGTCTCAGCAAGCAGCTACTGCCTCATTTGCTGGCATACTGGAAAGACCAACAGGGGAGTGGTCACAGATTTAAGGTTATTGTAAAAACTGTTCTATAGTGATAATTAGCTGCGGCTTCATTAAAAGGGCACCAACCCTCAGAAAAAATGCCAAATATACTCCCAACTCCTTTTATCCCACTCTGAAGTACCAGCACACCAGAAATACCTGAGTGTGCAATGTGTTGTGAGTTACAACAACTTAACTCTTTTAACACTTGTTGCAGAAATTATTAAATTTGCAAAGCAAGAAAAAGAAGTGGTTCTTGCCAACGTAAGTCCATTCATTGATAAATGTTTGGACTTTTTGATTTTGTTAAGTCACCAGAGTGCATGAAACTTTATATTTCACAGAGTGCTCAGAAAAAAAGTCTACTTTTTCTCCAATTCTGTGTATAAATCTTCACCAGCTTGAATGTACTGTTAGCTATTGCAAAGCACATGTGACTAAGTTTGCATTCATGTCAATATCGTTCTACTGGTTTTATTAGAATTTTCTCTTCCTTTAATACTGCACCCCGCATTGTAACTTTAGAGACTTCTCACCTTACTGAATTAGCTTTAAATGTGTTGCTACCTTTTAGTTTCCTAGCAGCTGTAAAATAGCTATTTTGTGTTCATTTGATATAGAATTGTAAAAAACTGCATTTATTTATACAGAGGCATTTATAATACTTATTTTCAAATGTTCTTATATTCTGAATAAATTTCTAATGCTGTTTCTTTGCCTTGGGAGTTGTTTCAACATGACTTGTCACCTTACTGTTGAATTGGACTTCCTAAAGGTATCTTGGAACAAAGATCTCTCATCTCCAAGATAAGTTACTGAGGGAGATGGTTGGATAGTCAGGAAAGTTCACATAATAGAGCCATTAGAAGTTGTTCAGAACTCATATCTGGCCACAGACTTTAGCTGGGCTCAAGAATATCATATCAAGAATATACTTCTTCCCACAAGCCCTGTACAGCTTCAAGGAATGCTTTAGAGAAATGGAAGGGTGCATGGCAAACCGTTTCCACACATGCGGTTCTTTTAATAACAAGTTAAAAGACCAAAACTAATGAAAACAAAATACTCAGTATGACATAAATATTCTAAAAAGCACTGATTGAAGTTCACATACTTCCTTTCTCCAGTATGTCTAACACATCTGTAATTTTTTTTCCATTTTGTTGAATTGGCTCCTCATCCACCTTTACAACTGMCTTTAAAAAATACTTCCTTTCCTGGCACTAGATATAATCACTGCTGCTGACTGGCTTAAGGCAACACTTAAACATTCTACAGTGAAGGAATAACCCGTACCAGCAGCACAAGCTTCACATTTCAAAATGACCAGCAATCCTTATATCCATACTTCAGTACTTCAATAAGTTTATTTATAAAGTAATTTAGTTTTACAGAGGAAAACGTTAACAATATAGAAGAAAATGTCAACTTAGTCATAGTCTTAAATGGTGTGCTTCAGTTTCTGAATCAATTCATAGCAAACAAAATCACAATCGTCAGTACAGCAGATGTTACAGGTAGTTGCAGATTTTATTTAATACAATTGAAGAGTTGACTAATGCAAATTTTCTTCAAAAGAACATAAGGGAAGTTGAATTAAATCTGTAATGATTTCAACCCTTTAGCTGTACGTACTTTATACTTAATTAGCACCAATGTGCCACTTAAGAGAGGAAAACAGATCGAGTTCTTGAGCTTTGAACAAACAGGAGGAAGGCATAACCCTTCATGCATAAGCCACACCACAAAGCACTGGCTTCCTGTTCTCTGCGAGGCATGCAGTGCCGCCCTGAAAAGTGTCATTGTTTGGAAGCAATATCCAAGTCTGGGTCCTGAAACACAAACACCAATCGAGCGTTCTGCCTGAATTAACAACCCCACATCTTCTGGGGGGTCTGTTTTGCTTTTTAGTGGTAAAAGTGCCTTGCAAACCCAGCTAAGCTGCTGCTCAAGAATGAAGTACAACTTCAACATAGTGCAGTGCCATGCAGACACAGTAAAGTTCTGTTGCAAGTATTGGGATGACAAGAACTTGCTGAGAGCTCTTAATCGTGCAGTTTTCCATACTTATTCTGCATAACAAAATTATGTACCCAACCAGTGAGATAAAAATTTCATCTCCACAGTTTAGTAATTTTGATCAAACATGCTTAAAAAATTGCAAAGTTTTTCTCACAGTTGGAAATGTGTCATAGAGAACTGTGTTTGCAGGGTGTGTTTTCTTAAAAAGCTATGAATGCCTTATTTTAAAATGATTAATGCTTCATGAGCTGTAATCATTTTCTTAAAGGCAGTGAACTGTAACCCATACTGGAAACAAGTTCTTCTGATCAACAATATAAATGCTTAAAAATGACAAAATACTCTGTTTTCAGTAAAATCAATAGAGACCCTAACAAATTTAAGCATTCTGTACTCTGAAATGTTAATTATTTAAAAGGAAGCACTTTTGTTTTCCAGAAGAATTGAAGGAGGACTTGAAGACAGCTTTGACTTCCCAGAAGCATCCAGAGCTGAGGACAATTTAAAGATAAGGGTTTCTGTAAAGCTGAATCTGTACAGAAAGTCCCACTGAACCTAACATTTTCAATGGAAAGACAAGTTAAACCCCTTTAAATAAAGCACTGCTTTATTGTACTACTACCAAACTGGAATACTTCCCCAGTCCAATCTTCAATATGGCCAATGTAATTGTTGTTTATGCTGACTTCCTTTTAAGTTGCACAACCTACAAGAAAAAGTGAAATGCACACACAGCACAAATCCTACTGCATCTATCAGTGCTTACATACGGGATTAAGAACAGTGCAAATACTAGCATTTAGCCTACTTTCATTCTTGAACTACACTATTGCTATAAATGCATAAGCATTTTGTAAGAACAAAAACCTATTATGGAAGAGTTTCTAAGTCAAATTTACTGTAAAAGCACCTTCAGTTAGTTTGTATAAATTTACCATATCTTAAATAATTTTGGTTGTTTCAAAAGCTGAAATACTGTAATAACAAAAACAAATTGAAATTATGAAGTCATGTATAAGCACCAGATTATTTAACATTTACAGTGCAAGACTTAACATCGTTTTATTTACAGAAATTAAATCAACAAGAGAGACTATCGTAACTATCTCAATAACTATAAGCTTCCTAACACATTTAGAATATAACTCCCTAACTTAAACATGAAGGCACCTGGCTTTACATCTGGAAGAGAAACCTGTTGCTCAGAATTTGTAATGAAACCCCAGGCACCTGAGGATTAAGCAGCCCCCTGAACCCACAGCTGGGCAGCCAGTTACCCCTGGAGCAGCAGTGCTGTCTTGCACCACTGGACACTGGAGTTTGGATTCTTAAAGTAGCCTCTTTGCTCTTCACACCATAATGGCATGAGTGCAAAAGCAAATCACTACATTAAGTAAATGTTGGAAGAACTATGTTCGTATCTGAAATTACAATCTGAGAGCAAGTACATTAGAAGTAGCCAGACCCAAAGCCTGCCTTGTTTTCGAAATGAACTGTTACATCTAAAACAGCCACAGGTAGGTGAAGATAAAAAYTAAGTATTGTTCTCAAATCACCAAATTTGCTCAGGAAGGTTGAAGCACAGCACAGAAGCCTGGAACAGTGATTAGGCCCAAAATTTCATTAGAAACTATTTATGCATGTTTGTTCTAAAGAATTTACATTGTGTTAAAAAATAATACTTTGATTGTGCAATAAATAAAGCTATATCCCCCTCTCCTTCCCARAACCACTGTTGCCAGACTTCAGACCATGCAAGATCCAGTCACTTTCAAAAGCTGGATGATTGATGTACATCAAGGAGCTGAAGTCACTCAACTGGGCAGGCCACTTTTCAGTCCAAGGTCAAAGTATAGAAGCATTCTAAGAAGGAGAGATGCTAAAAACCTCATGCTAAAGGAGGGAGTTGATGCAGTACTAGAAACTGCACACTAGTACTATATTCCTAGCACCTCACACCTCTAGGTTTTTTTCCTTAATGTCTCCTTATTCCACAAATTCTTTGATTTCAAGAACACTAACTGACTGTTCATAATCTGAATAACCCCTAACACGGCAGCATTCTCAAATTGACAGTGTTTGTGTTTTTCAAGTATCTCAACACCAGCTCTCAAGTCTGACATGCTAACAGTTCCTGTTTCCCTGTGTCTAGCTCCCGTAAAGTAAAAACTCACAGAACTAAAGCCTGTATCTCACTTGTTATTTCTTCACGGTTTTATGGAAGATAATGTAAACAGTACTTCTAAACTTAGAAATACAATTATAAAAGGATGGTGAAATAAGAACATAAACAATAGTAAACAAAATGTTCACTGTGCAGGGCATGATGGAGCCCACAAAGTGGATCACATGCCACCACACTTACATAGTTTTAGAATAAACCTTAATAAGGAAGCAGAAAGCAATGCTACTACAGCAAACGGTACCCTTATACAAAGAAGTAAGTTATTGCATATTTATCACATTTATTTGCAACTCACATTAAGGCTAGGTTTACTAAAATCATGACATATGTATAAGCTTCACTTTGGGTTGCTTAATGAAGCAACCAATGTCTCATACTGAACCAATCTTTCACTAGGAAGAAAAAAACGAGACAGTAAACAGAGGGCAGCCAGCATCTCCTATTCATAGGACATGCTTCCATTGTTCTAAAGACTTCCTCATGCCTGGGACAGGACTTCCCAAACATGACAGATGCTCCAAGTTCACTGTTTCATCAGCATCCCCATTATTTCACAGAGCACTAAATGATCTATAACTAATTTATCTGAAAAGTCAATGTATACATAAAAAGATTTCCACAGCCTGTTATTTAATTATGCCTTAGGAGAGTCCTGTTTACTCCACAGGCAGAGTAGCAGCCTCAGGATATGATACAAACTTCTGCCTCACCATGAGTAAAGGCACTTTTGCTGGGAAATCAACTAAAAAAGCACTAAAGAAGCAACTAAAGATTAGTTTTCACCTGAAGCTGAATAACATAACCTCCTCCAGCATTATCCTACCTTCTCAGTTACTTTTCTTTGTCATTATATGGCCTTTGGATACATTTAAGAAAAAAAAAAAGTGAGTCAAAGCTAGATTGAGCTATTTCACAATTTGGTCTTGAAAAACAAGGCCCTCAGAACCCTTGTCCTCCAGAAGGAGGAGATGCTGTAGTCCATTTCTCCTGTTGACTGATACACAAGTTGAGCGCTCCCAATGGCCAAAATTATTACAGCATTAGAGTATCAAATCACCTGGTGCCAGGCAGGTGAATAAACCAGGAGAAAGTTCTAAAGCTATTTCTGTGGAAAAGACTAGGTAACAGATCAGGTAGGGTAGATGAAGTAGGGTGGTTGAAGGAAGACCAGGATTTTGGTTTTGGATGACATATGAGTTGCATAAAAACTCAGTGCATGTACATACACTACAAGGGTGTAGTTCATTCAATTTATGAAGTTATTGATTACCTCTATTCTAGAGAAAAGTCCATTTTTAAATCTGGGACATGCTTGCTATCACAAGCTGCTGTGACAAATTGTTTCAGTGCATTTCTCTCCACTGCAAAGCACATGCTCAAAACCCACTAATTTGAAGTTGATGTAATGCTCATCAYCTCAACTCCTACAGGTTTTTTGTTCCTCCCCTCCATCCCCAACCCACCTTTCACATTTTTCCTAAGAAAGCACTGTAGCTGAAAAT